AACATGTTTTGGAAAGTTCAAGGACTTATTTGTTTCAAAAAAAAGTTCAAGGACTTAATCATTCCAAACAAGAAAGTTCATTGGTTTTTATTGTAATTTTTCCAAATCCAAAAAACAGAAACTTCTGTGGGCCCCTTACATACATCTTATTACTTAATATTCTATCAACCCATAACATGTAATCATGTTTCCACCATTAAACTTAATTTCCCACTAATTATAATTTTAAGACATAATCATGTTTAGAGTAAATTACGTGTCCCATATGTTTAATATGATTCTCGTAAATTACCTTATTATCCTTCAATCACTACCAAAAATACCATTTTTACCCCGCCAAAAAGATTCGAACAAATAAAGGGGCAACGGGCAACGGGCAGCGGGCAGCGGGCAGAGTTCCTTCTCAATTACTACCACCCATGTCTTTGAGAATCCTTCCTTCTCTATAAAAACCCAACGCTGGAACCCTTCTGTTCCCAACAGCTTGCTCTTGCAATTTTCTTCTCTTCCCATATTTTCGTTAAGAATCGAATTGCAGAGCTTATTAATGGAGGCAATGAAGATGATGAAGCTTTTCGCCATAATGATGGTGATGATGATGGCCGTTTCAGCCATCTCCGTCTCCGCTGCGGACGCTCCTGCTCCTGCTCCTGCGTCTGACGCCACAACCGTCTTCGTCCCTACCGCCATCGCCTCACTATCTGCACTCGTTTTCGCTTTCCTCTTTTGATTTGTTCAGTTACAGTATGATTTTGATTATATAAGTGTTATATTGTTGCTATTGATACACCTGTTCGAATCTCTCTTTTCTCCTTCTATTTCATGGAGATAGAAGGAATAGAGAGAGAGATGAAGGAAAATCTTCGATCTATAATTCTGTTCGAGTTTCTAGATTAATAAATTTCAGTTCGTGATTTTGATGTTTTGATCTTTGGATTTTTGAATTAAGTATTGATTACTATATTTATGTTATTGAATTTGAATTCATTATTGTACCTGTTTGAAATTGAAGCATAGAATGAATTCAGATTCCTTGATTCTTATTTTTCAAATTGATTATGCTTTCTATCCTCTGAAAAAGTAAAGCAAATCTCAATGCGTTTGTACCTCACGAAGCTTTATTCATTATCTTGCTTTTCAAATTTATGCTTTGGGAATAGCATTTCTACTCCATGATTCTACTTCAAATCTGGCATTATTCCTTTGAGGAATTTTAAATTCGTTAATGGAGGTCGATTATAATTAGATCAAAAGTAATACGATGATCATCAAACATTTCTACTTTTTCATGATTGCTTGATAACATTTGATTAGTATTAAGAAACCTTTAGTTGATATAAAACTTGACATGCGTCCTGTTTTCTTTTTCATTAACACCATATTGAAAGTGGATCTCCGAAAGGTCCTTTTGGAGCTAGGTGTCGTCGTGTAGATAGCTTTGATCATAATCTCCAGATGGAGACTCAAAGTAATGTTCTAGTCATTTATAGATCAATAATCATCTTTTTCCTGCTAGATTCAAACTAATACTGTCAAAATATGAAAAGAGAGTTTCAATCATTTATATAAAACTAATTGCGATCATTAAAATAAAGGTAAAATATGTGGGATAACAATTTACTTTTATAAATTTCCTTATTGTAATATTGTATTTTCAGTTTTTCTTATTACAGTAATATATTTTCAAAATATTTTTTATTAGGATATCGAACTTTCAAAAATTTACCCGTTATAGGGTAACATATTACCTTTTAAATAGGTTTTTTTTGTTGACGTATCAAACTTAAACATGGAAGCCACATAGGATAACCTATTATACATGGAAAATATGCAAAATAGCAACCTATTTTAAAATTTTCTTTACTATAACATTGTACTATCAGTTTTTCTTATGATAACAATATACTTTTAACATATTTTTTATTAAAGCATCGTACTTTAAAAAAATTACCCGTTATAGCATTGGGTACACGATGTGAAACGTGTTCACAAAGGGGTGTTAAAAAGGTAATGTGAAATCTTTGAGTTTCATACTAATTTTATATATCAATTGAATACTAAATTTTTCACTAATTTGAACAGGAACCATCTCCAATTGAATCACGACCAAAGCTCATCCTGAAAAAAAAATGAGGTCAAGTAATGACAACTTTAACAACTTACGAAAAATACTGTTGAGAAAGATGGAGAACGTAGTAGTTGTGACAAGACGGTTCCACTTGATTAAATATCATTATTAGATAAATGTGAATATGATGAGTTTTTTTTTTTGTTCCACTTGTTTAGTTTTTGGCATTACAAGTAAGCCATGAAATTTATGATGAACGAATGGTTTTTTATGAATATTTTTATTAATGAAATAGTGATCTTTTGTAAACATGTTTAGTTTCTGATATTATATTTTTTAGTAAACATATTTGATTAAACTTACAATGTTTAAATGATAAAAATATTAAAATTAAAGTACAATCTTGTAATAGAAATTGGTGATGTTATAATAAAGTAATTCTAAAAGTACAATATTATAATAAAAAATGTCATGTGAGCACTATCGTACATGTGGACAGCCTCCGTAAACGATGAGGTGACAAAGAAACTTGATATAATAGGTAAATTTAATTTAAAAGGTTACCCAATGCTATAACGGGTAATTTTTCAAAGTATGATGCCCTAATAAAAAATATTTTGAAAGTTCATTCATGTAATAAGAAACTGAAAGTAATACTATAATAAGAATATTTATAAAAGTAGATTGTTATTTCGCATATTTTGTCCCCAAAATAAAGTTGTAAACAATAAGAAAACCCAACAGCGGTTATGGTTTTTGTATTTTTACTGATATAAAATACGATTAGAAGTAATGAATTTGAAAATATAGTGTCTTTTTGAAATTCAAATCAATAATTACAGCAATTATGTGGTGGAATTGGTAAAGTATCAAAGTTAAGGGGATATTCTTTTAAGGTGACAAAGGGTTTGATGTTAATGCTGCCACATTATCATTTGTATTATTTTAATTAAATATAGGACAAATTTGTGTTCAAATCCCCCCAAAAAAACAGAAATTTAATGGATTCAAACATTTTCGATGATATTTTTTCTTATACGAGTTTTTAGAGATACAAAACTAAGGTAGTAGACTATATATACAGGATGGAAGCAAGTGGATGAGAGGATCGGAGACTGTAGAGGCAGTTGATGAGATGTTAAAGAATCTCACGTCAGCTAAATTTTGACCATTTATCTTTTTATATGTTGGAACCTTCATTAAGTCAAAAGTTTTTTTTGAAAAATAATCTAATATGATTCCACATATTCTCACTTGGTATCAAATTTAAGGTCTACCATCCTACGGTTCGAAACTTTGTGACAACCTTAACTCATCTATCCCCTCACCTGTCTTTCCCCCTCTCGATACTCTAGGATAATCATTGAGGAGCCACCCGATAGGTTGCTAGAGCCTTAAGATTATAAAGAGGGTAGTTTATTTGTTGTATTTAGATGATTCTTTTTAGTAATTATCATTATCTATGTCCATGATAAAAAATGAAATTATAAAAAGCCTTTTATTTGTTTATACTTGTTTTCTACGAGATGCCAGGAATTTCTTGTACCACGTTCCTAGCCGTAGTATGTAAGATAATGAAGAAGACTATTTGACTTGACCATTTCCTTTTTTGACTCTAATTTCAAGTGAGACATATCAGATAAATTTGGTTTCGAAACCTTTGTGGCTCATTTTAGGCCACCAAGAACTGTTCAATATTACAAATACATCAATAAGAATCATGTAAGCTAATGAGCATGACTACTAGTTTTATTTGACATCTTTGGCTCAAATAATCTACAAAATGAATGCAAAACCCTCCATTCATATGGTTCAACAAACCTTTACTTCTTTATCTGCAGACAGGAAATAAATTGATAATGGCTGATAATGATTTGTAAAGGAGCATTCTGGAGGTATGAACAAGGAAGGAGGTAAAAGACAAATGACATTTGGCATCATGTGCAGTGCACATGGGAATGGTGGACAGGAAGAAGGCCAAACCCAAAATGTGTGTCTACACATAATCATGGCTTTTTCACCATAAAAAGGGGTGGTTGCTTGGATCTTTGCCTCTCACATGGGTGGAAGAGAGTGGGGTTCTTGCACCCACCCATCCCATGTTATCATCATTTCCCCCAAATTTTACCAGTCATGGTGTCATCTAGAGCCTGTTCTTGTTTATTTCATAGTGGCTTAATGATGTATAGAAAGTGGCTTCTTCTCCAATAAGCTTCTCGGGAAAGCTTTATGCAGAGCCAAGTTTTTCCCAAATCTATCACTCTCAATTAAAAAGCACGCTCTTTCCATCTATGAAGAAACCTTTCCAAACAAAAACCTTTCCAACCTATAAACAGATTAATTCACACAGACAAATTTATTCATACAAGACTTAATAGAAAACCAACCAAACAGTCCATGAGTTTCTTTTTTTGTATTCTCTTTGACCAAAATTCCAACAGTAGGATAAAACCAAACCAAACAAACTCATAATATCCTACCAGAAGATGGGGCCAAGAGATAAGATGTATACAGACCTTCCCTCTCCGTCTGAAAAGACAGAGCCTGTTTCCAATAATACAATACAAATACAGAAGTCAAAAAAATCCATAAATGTCGCATATGAGATCCAAGTTGTTTTTGTACAAACATTCAAGTCCTATCACTACAACACTTGATGATCTATGTATTCTTTTTCTAGAAAATTTTGCACTATTTCTTTTTAAGAACTCTGGAACATTGTTCCTAATCAGCAAAACTACAATTATGCATTCAGTAAGATTGTACAACTATTTCTGCACATAAAATCACTAACATGTAATAATATATATTAATTTCTGACCTGAATCTAGAGTTCTGACTTAACAGAGAGCTGAGAGACTTCTTTATCAGCAAAATGTAGCAGCCTTCGAAGTCTGAGTACCATATCACAGTGAAAAGGAAGGGAGGTTCGTCTTTCTAGGTATGCTGGGCTGACTGTCATCCAAGACAACGCGTGGAGCTCGGCTGCCACACGTTCAAGAATCAAATGGTTTTCCAACCCAGATTTTTTCGAGGTTTTTTCACTATTGTTATTATTGCCACCATAATAGTCAAAAAGTCCGACAGAGAGAATAGAAGGCCATTCTTCTTTGCAGTTGCTCCTAGAGTCTTTCCGCATAGAAGGTACGGCTTTTGAGACCACAAAACCTGTAGAAATGGGAATGGCGGAACCCTTGCTGTGGAGGAGATGTGCTAATGGTGGTGATTCTGAGGTCAGGCAGGTGGGGAGCTGGAGAGGGTTTGGGGGTAGAAAGCGCATGCTAGGTGATGGTACAAATATATAGGAAGCAGATGCAGAACCGAGAGATTTCACAGGCGTGAACCCTTCAACGTAGCAAGACTGCCCCATTATGCCACTGCTTTGAGTTGTCCCTGTTGCAGGAAGATTGCAAACCATATAAACATCTTAAACAACTGTACTGTTCATTGGTGTTCTAGAATTTTGGAAAAAAAAAAGAGAGGGGAAAATAGAAAGGAAAGAAAATAATTTTTTTTATTTGTGTTCTTGAAAGGGAAGGGAAAGCATGGAAAGGGAACACTTTTTTCATGTTCTTCAACCGGAGAGAAAGGAAAGAAATGACGTCACTTTTACCAATATCCCTTTATATATACAAGGTCAGGTTCAGGGGAAAACCAAAAAAATAAAAAACTAAAGAACACTCTGGTAACTGTTCACTTGGACGGTATGCACACGTGCATACAAGTAATTTGTAAGCAATTTGGGTGGTACGCACATGTGCATAAAAACCAAAAAACAGTTTCAATTACTTGTATGCACGTGTATTTTGTCCAGGTTACCAGGGTGTTCCTCAATTTTTCATTTTTTGGGGTATCTCCACTGAACCTCCCTCTATATATATAGAGGACGGTTCATGTGAGAATTTACCAAGGTGTTCCTCAATTTTTCATTTTTTGGGGGGTTTTCACTGAACCTCCCTCTATATATATAGAGGACGGCTCATGTGAGAATAGGAGTTAAGATGAGAAGTGTAAGAAAGGATCTAGACCCTTGATCACTTTTAATCTCACCCCCACCCCATGAATTGCGCTTCTCACGGGAATTGATATAGTCCATCTCATTAGTGTTGATCTTCAATTAGGATTGATCCAAGGGTGGAGATCCTTTCTTACCCTTCTCATTATAACTTCTATTCTCACCGGAACCCAACCCTATATACATATATATGTGTGTGTGTGTGTGTGTTTTTCTCACTTTTCCTTATGAGGATATTTTTGTCATAAAAGATCACAGACTCCTTTCTAAAAAATTAAGAGAAAACATGGTTTTTGTTTTCCCCTCCTTTCCCTTCCTTTCCTTCAAAAGAAAAGGTTTCAAGAACTGTGTAAAAAGGGGAAAAGTTTCAACTTCAAAATCATCATCAAGAGAATTTTGGCTAGATATTGATGATAAATTTACAAAAAGAAAGAAAAATCTAACCTGGAGATGAATCTGCCTGATAAACTAACTGTAGTGAATGATCAACAGATATTGATACAAAAGTGATGCTTTGCACCCACTGAAGCAAACCCTTTGAGTTATCCATTGCCATATGCCCGCCACTGCTTAACAGCTGCTTTCTAGATGATGGTTGTCCCAAGCCTCCTTTCATAAAGGTAGAAGCCTTGGTGTGAGATGGTAGATTTCTGTCTTGAATTATGCTCATCTCTTGCTGTTGCAAGGAACCTCCGTTGCTGCTTGCCGGCATTCCATCAGGTACTGATCGTCGAAGGTGCAAGGACCACTTTTTGACCTCCGAACCCCCTATAGAATAAAGGGCTTTCTGCCATTCTGCTTACACATCATATAAATAATAAATAAAGGTATTGCCAAATCAATCAAGAAAGAAAAGGATAAAAGCGTAAAAATACAGAAGGATGGCTACCCTGGCACTCAAGCTCAAAGAAGCATCCAATGCGGGTGATAACAAAATCTCTTGGCCGGGCTGTGGTTGTATCTGGAGAACATGCCTGAAGTATCTGACAACCTTGCTGCAAAATTTGGACGAAAAGGAATTGGAGACCCTTCGTGTCCTGTCTACTGCTGATTCCACCAAATGGAAATGTATAACTGTCGAGCAGTTCACCCCTTGCATCCGTCCATATGCAAACCAGCCACCGCCAATCTTCGGTCCATCCATAGCAACAATGCAGACTTGGGGATGTTTTCTGATGAGCTGACCCAAACCCATCATCCATACCATCAATTTGAGATCCCAGCCCAACATCAGAACTTGTACCATCATCCGATAAAAGCTTCAAAGATTCAGGTGAAACTCCACGTTCTGAAGAACCAGGCTCCGCAAGAATGAAAAGTGGCTCAAACATATATTTTAACTCTTCTTGAAGAAGATAATCTCCACTTCTATTGGGATCACCTCCTAGTCCCCCAGTTCTAGACATTTGCCATGAGTTATCCCAGGTGCCAGACCTCAAGCTAGCATCGAGTTCACCCTCTCTCTGGAGAGTAGGCCCCACCATTCGAGGGCCTATGGAGTCTTTCCACATCCCTGGAATCGGAGAGTTCATTTGCATCATAGTCGAATGAGATTGGGATCTACCCGGCATCGAAACTGATGGGATGACTTCAGTAGATGATCCTCGAGAGATCCTTCGTGCTTTGTTGTAGACTGTGAACGCAATCTCTTTGAGGATGACCGGCTCATTAAGAGATGGACTTGTCACCCGAAATATAGCATCAACTGTCACAACTTGTAACACCAGTTTAGGGATACTAAACCCTGAAATCGTGACAACGTTTGATATTGATGCTTCATCTACCGCGGTAGAGCAACTTAAAGCCTTCCCAACTTGATTTTGCATGGCGGATCTTCTTTCTTTATCTGCAGAAGGAAAGATAGCTGAACCAACAGCTACACATGATTCAACAATGGTCTTCAGAACAGCAACAGGCTCGGGAAAGGGGCACACCACATATATCACCTGATTATCATATCCAATTAAATGTGGCAAAATTTCAGTTAAACCGTTAAAAAAATGAAACAGTGAAGCAGTGTATAGCCACAACTTACTGTACAAGGAGTGCTGCTTCCTTCTTTTGAATTTGGAGCAAAGCAGGAACCAAGTTTTAGGGCTTTCAGAACCTTAGAAAGGGACTTCAAAAAGCTTGTCAAATCCCAACCGTTAGACAGAGAAAGAAAATAATCACTAATTGATCCCACCAGAGACGCACTATCGCTTTCGATCTTCATCGATTGGGGACAATCAAGTAAAACAAAACCAGAAGAAGACCATTTCCCAGAGTCCTTGGCAGTTGGATTCCCCAAATTCTGGGGCGAATGTGTTCCCAATTTGCATGTCTCATACACTGCAAGAAAAGAGAAGTTGTATCTACTAAAACTAGTTTGACACAAGGTTATGATTTAGTGCACAAAAGAATACAACTTATGACAAACCCGTCTCAAGTTGTTGGAAGAAGTCTGCAGCAGCGGTTGTAAGGGGATCAATGTCTGGACATACGACACAATAATTCATCTGCAACAATAACGGGAAGGAAATGGTAAAAACTTTATGCTAAGTTAGAGGTACAAATGTGTGGTTGACTGGAATTAAAACCGATAGTAAATATCTCACATGCTTCTGCATAGCATAAGGTTCAAAAGGAGCTTTCTCCCAGTGTTGAAGAGAGCTCGCTGAGGTCTTTAGCCAATCATCCTGGTACCTGTTACATACATTACTTTTCGAGCTTATCCCTAGATGTAATATTTGTCATCTTCAAAATTCATATGAGATTTAATAGAAGTAAAATACTTTGTATTATCAAAACCATACCCAACAAGAATAGCAGGAATAGGCACTACAAGGAGGGCAGGCCTGAGTGCTAGTTGCTGCTCGGACTCGGTTATACATATGTCTTGGTTTGATCGCCTATCACTTGCTTCATCCACTCGAGTTCCATCTATGGCCAATATGCAATTGTTCTTATGCTGAAGAATAAGTATACATATAGAGGGAGGTTTGGGAGAAAACCCCAAAAAAATGAGAAGTTGAAGAACACCCTGATAACCACCATTCATCTGTAAGGTATGCACATGTGCATACAACTAATCGAAGTTGCTTCTTGGTATTTATGCTCGTCTGCATGTTATGCACATGACCATCCAGATGAACATTTACCATGGTGTTCCTCAATTTTTCATTTTTTGGCCTTTTTCCTCAGAACCCGATCCTATATAAAGCAACCTCAATTACTTGTATGCACATGTACATACCGTCCAGATGATGAATGGTTACCAAGGTGTTCCTCAGTTTTTCATTTTTTTGGAGGTTTTCCCCTTAACCTCCCTCTCTCTCTCTCTTTATATATATATATATATATATATATATATAACCTATACATGGTCTCACTCAAATTAAACAACTATAGTTATCAGTTACCTTTGCTAAGACAAGATGTTGATCCACCAGCAGACTGAGATGGGCTTATTGGTTCAACAGACATTGCAGTACTAGAAGAATCTCTACAATCGTTTATGCTTGCAGATGATTCAGCCGAAAATCCATCACCAAGACCAGATTGACCATTGCGACCTTTGCACCAATCAGTGACAGACAAAGGACCATCAAAGGTACCAAAGGCCAATTTCAAGGCTGATTTTATGTCAGACTGAAGCAAAGTAATAGCATACGATGCATGGACCTGAAACCCAATAGTGAGGCTACAATATTACATAAAAATAAAAACTTGAACTACTTTGACAAAAATATAGACAAAGGTATATCAACTACAGAAATAGAAACTAAAAAAGTATGGAAGCTTACATCAGCTGAAAGTGGATCTGCTAGCTCTACACCAGCAATATCAAGAGAATGACAAGAAGCCAAAACCCCACCACAGCCTGCGTGAACTAAAGAAGGCCCACAAGAAAATCCACGCCTCCACTGCTCCTGCATTGCCAGCCAACCATAAGGACCATCCCCATAATCTGCATCTAATGTCACATCCACAAAAGAGGTAGCTTGTTGGAAAAGTAGCGGCATTCCATCAAGAAGCTCCAAAAGAGGTTGTCGCTGGCCATATGAGAGCATGCCTTCCTCATTAAAGGAATTATGAGGTAAAGAAGCAAAAGATTCCATATTTGGTGTCATGGGTTTTGAACCTTTAGCGACTCCAACAGTTCGCCAAACACCAACAGGTGAGTTAAGAGGTCCATCTAGCAGCCCTCCATCTAAATCACCCGCGATTCTAACAGGTACGGATTCTTTCTTTATATCATACTTGCTTGATATATTGTCCTGCAAGATGTTTGATTCGCCATGCATCTGATACAAGACATTATTTCCAGATAACCTACTCAATCCAACAGACATCAAGCTGCTGGGAACTAATAGTGTATGTCTTATTCTGCACATAAAAGCTTGAAACATAATGCACTCAAGTTCATTCGCGATTGCCGTTTTTGACGATATAAGAAAATTCTCTGTTCCTCCTAGTAAGACCCCTTCTGTCATCTTATTCCGGGCAGAAGATCTAGGAGCATTATTTGAGGAATTGAAACCGGATAACATTGATGGTGCAGCATCTTCATGTGAAGCGATGATATTGTCACACGCTGAAGATTTGTCGTCTTTTTTATCTTTTCCACTTTCAACATGAGTGTAGTATTTCTTGGATTGAAGCAAGGAATATTTGTCTTGCCTTCCTGAGCCACCTTTTGAATTCGCACCAATGCCAGGCTTATCGTCAGATATATCATGGCGAGGAGAAGGAGGTATTGCGGAGTAGACGTAGTTATTTGTACTTGAATTTGCACTCTCCACCGTTCGAGATTTTGGAATATATGGGCTTTTGATAACAGAAGATAGCAAGTCATTTGTTGGGGTTTCCACTGCTCCATATTCTGGAGCAAATGTCATCAGGGCTTCAGCTTTTATCAAATAATCAAACTCGCTGGTACTAGCTGGTGGATTATAATTCATTGATCCAGAAGACACAGCATCCTTCGTGACTTCCTGATTTTTGCTCATTGACTCCTCGACAACAGTTGATGGTTGATTAAAGCTCTCAAAGGATGTAAACCCAAGTGGCAAAAGCATCTGATCAGAGGCATCCATCATCCCAGTAAACGGGCTGCTACTGGCATCTCCACCATCTGTTGCAGAAAACATGGGAGTCTGCGACTCTTCGGTCCCTGGCGGCTTCACCATATTACAAACATCATACTAGTTTAGAAAATAAGTGCTCATACAATACACACAACAGAAGCTAGATGAGAAAGAACGTTCCAATTACCTCCCCAAATGGCAAAGCATCGTTCACAAAGAAGTCACCAAAATCTCCAAATTCTGAGAGAAGTGCTTGGATATCCATGACCGTACCTCTGTCATCATCGTCCCAGTCCCACTGAGACCCAACCTGGTCATTGTTGATTTCTACGTATGCATCTTGCATAGGTGCATTAATGACTGCACCTGCCTGACCATATGACTCGGTTATTCCAGTCCGAGATCGCTTACTACCCTGCATAATATGGGTAGAGCTAAGGATTGGAAACATAGGCTTTCGTAAAATTTATTAACTGTAGATGTAAACAACAATCTAACCAATGATCAGTTCTCAAAATTAAATAACACCAATTTCAGGACAAGGATGTTTGTATGTTCATTGTGAATTTAGATAAAACGATCATACCAATTTGGAGCCATCAATATGCATTTGATCTGCAGAAGTTAAACCAGACTGTCTGCATGATAGAGAATCAGCATCAGCCTCGAGATCGCCGGCTTCCCCAGTCATCCTATAATCACTATCACTAGATGTACTGGTGCTAATGCTACTGTTATTACTATTCCCGCTACTATTGTAACCATGTTGGGAGCGGATGCCACTATCATGCCAAGATCCATCCATGGCACTGAAAGCATCACTGCAAGATAGCAAAAGAACCATAAACATTACACGGATCAACAGTGGGAGCAACAAACAAGATGCAGATAAGAGTGAGGATGCAAATGGAACAAATATGCCTCAAAACTAACAGACTTACCATTGCATAGAGAATGACGAACCAGATAAAGATGGCCCCATCCAATTTTGAAGCCAGAATCTGTAGAATAAGAGAATGTAACACTTAGTGAACATATATAATGCAGATACATGCAAATAGATTACTAGAGCACCATAACTTTTGGACATCTACAGCAGACTGCTAAGAAACTCAAACACCCCCTCCCCTTTTTCCCACCCAAATATACGACAGAAAAGAACGATTTTGTGCAGAGGAAGACGAATTTTTTAGAGAGAATAATAGAAAGCTGATCAAAGTGGAGAGAATAGAAGAGATGCCTTTTCAGAGAAGATCTAGCAGATGATGTTTGCACAACTGGGACAAGGACTGCCTCAGCTGGATATATAAATGTTTTTTCATATATTGAAGAATGATATGCCAATCCCTTCTCACTTTCTCGTGTCACACCAGGAGATTCCGACATATGATGCTTTGAGAAGTTTCTGTTTGAATTTGATGGCAGTGGCTTCTCACTTTCAGCAGTCTCACAGCCGAGGGTTACTTCAAGATAGCAGTTTTGGCCCCTCAGCTGACAGCCAGAACTTTGAGAAATCTGGTATGGAAGACCTACAATTCCATTTGAAGCCTTGAACTTCCCAGAACTGTCCAACCATGTTTACAAGAAACAAGAAACAAGAAACAAAAACTGTGAGTGCTGTTATCATCGAAGTATCAAAGATACAAGTTATGAAAGGACTGATTGGTAACTCCACCTGAAATACAATTGCTTCACAAGATCACCTGGACAAAATCCAGTTAGCCTGCCACGCATTCCATGAGGTGAGACGATAACTGCAGAAGTAAACACTAGATATTAATTTGCAAACCCACATTCTCTCTTGTGCTCATGGTTTCTATAAATATTTTATCAAAACGAAAGGAAGACCAGGTGAATTTAAACTGACCCGGAAGCCTGTCACTGGAATGACTAGAAGTGCGCTTTAAGATTGTCTCCATGTCACCATTTGAAAGCGCCCGCACATGCCTGATAGTGAGAAGGGTTATGAATTTAACATAATCGTATAGCATTCTAGATCTCACAGAAGACAGCTGATGAAAGAAAATAAAGGAAGAAGTCGACGAACTTTGCAGATATTATGACATGAACAAATACTGCCTCTTCCGTCGCAGTAAAGATGAATTCAAGCACCGGCTGACCTCTCCTACAAAGGCAGCAACCATAATTTAGGCCACTTGAAGATATATACAGCAACAAGTAGGAAATGGCCAAAACTATTGAGCAAAAATGAAAATATCATAAGATCCCAAATATATGTAAAGGCAAAATAGTCAACGTGCTCAAGATGCCAAAAATGCGGTCATGACTAACAGCTATAACCTGTAGAGAATGAAAACCTGTGCCTACCAACTCACAATACCAAAAATAATAGCAAGTCTTCTGTTTTGGTTTATTGATTTCCTAAAGAAAAAGTAGGAATATGGAAGCTATTTGGACAGCTTCTTTTCAGCACCTTACAGCTTCTAGATCATATAACCTATTTATCGGAATTCAACAAAGTTTATACGGAAAAGCAAGAATCCCTCATATAAAGTAAGCCCATCATTCTTTCTCTTCTTCGATTCCCAGACATTTCATTACAAGAAGAACTGGAACCACAAAACTAGTGGTGAGTTCACTCATACTGTTAATTTAAGAACAGTTTAAACATCAGAAGTGGGAATTACAAAATTATTATGCCATAAGACTGGTAATGTGACAGAGATGACCAAATGACATCACAATAAATAAATAAAACTCCAGCTTTCACAACAAATTATAGGATAGTACCATGCACCTGAACAGTTCATCTCCTTGCGAAGATGGATGGTATCTCGAAAATACATCCCCGAATCTCATATACGAAAGCCCTATTAGTGCTCTGTCAACAGTAGTTAAGGAAAAACAAATTCATAGGTGCATTAGATAGTTGTTTTCCAAGAAATCTAGCTAAATAAAGAATAGAAGAGACACATCAGGAACCTTTCAATACAATTCCTTAAAGCTTGAGAAAGTGCAGCTGCCACCTCTTCAGAGTCCCCAGGTGCCAACCAGACCCCAGATGCCAGAACTGCAACAAATTATAAACATGGATTACAATGATCAGAACTGCAAGAGTGGTAGAAATCTATATATACGAATACCCATTGCAAGGATATAGGTGGTCGCCCAAGAGATTCACCGTGAATCACAAACAGCATACATAATCGAGTTATAAGTGTACCTCTTAGTTTAGATACAGCAGCTTTAGCCTTATCAGCGACAGATAAATGGCGGCCAGGGATAAAAAGCCATAGCTTGATTTTCTCGTCTGCAAAATTTCATACATTAACCAATTAGTTGGAGGAAAAAAATATGCTGCTTCAACTCTTGAACTGGGTGAAGAAAAATCATAACATTTACCAGGGTTATGTAGGCCCTGAGATGGATCCCAAGGCCCAACAAAAGAATTACCCCATGTGCTAAGGAATCCATCCTTCTGCAACTGCAGATGGGATGAAAGTACCAGTTGTGCAGCAGCATCTCTCTGATTCAACTTTACACTGTCCAAAGCATCGAAAAAATATGATTTCAGCAAAAACTAAGAATGCTAACTAATCTGAACATACAAGACCGAAACAAATTTTAATCATCATGGGCCACTGAATTATCTTTTTAAACAGGTCAATGAACCTTATGTTTTCTCGATTTGACCACTGTCGTCACTTTTTGGTCAAGAACTTCACCCAGTTGTTGTCTAGCTACAGACAAATACCAGATAGAAACCAATTTGCAATCATCGTGGGCCACTGTTTTTTTTTTCCAAAATGGGTCTATGAACCTTGCCATTATCAATCACATTCTGTTCAAAAAGTTCACCCAACTGTTGTCTAGCTACAGTCTAGTAACAGACCACAATTGCCTCACAATAGAAGAGAAAAATGAGAAAAACTACAACTTATTAACAACAAGATGCTCTACCAAAAGGAATTCACTACATCATATGAGGTGCTGGACTTTAAAATTAATTACATAAACCATCTTCCAAGGGTGCATGATATTAATAGCTCTTCCCAGTGATGGAAGAAGACTATCAAGAATTGTACAGGTGAATTCCTGTAGGATAATAGCATCCTATTACTTAAAGGGGCATTCCTATCATGACCAAAGTTTAGGGTTGTGGCCCATCCTCAGGTTCCATCTTTTGGATTCAGTTTGTTCAAATGAAAGCATTAAAAGGATAGCTATACAGGAGGGAAAATAGACACACTTTAAGTTCAGCAATCGAATTAGACGATTTGAAAGCTCAAAGACCCAAAATAAGAAAGTTGCCCAAGTCCAATCTATTGTAAAATGCTATATGTACAGTGACCAATAAGTTCTCCTTGCTTAACATAAAATAGACCACAAGTTTTAAATTATCAAAACAAGGAACCTTCTATCAGATAGGTTGGGATCAGATTCATTCGGGAGAAACTGGAACCATGACACCTGATGTAGACCGCCCTACAGAGAAGTCAAAGAGAATAAATAAAATAACATATGAAATCATGTGAAGAGACATGGCTGAAAAGTTATAAGATAATTCACAACTAACATGTCACATTTCGTTCTTATGTAAGCCAATTGAAGCAAAGAGAACTGGAGAACATCATCAATTATGAAATTACAAGCATGCAACTAAACTCATAAATAATTTCCCATGCTACTATCGGTGTTCAGTTCAGTCAGATGACTTTTTTTCCTTCCTTTTTCTTGCAAATAGAAAAGCATCACAAGGGGGTGTGAAGGGAGTCGCTCTTCGGACCTCACACAAACCCTTTAGATAGTCTGTCCCATACATTGATCACAATCTAACATTTAAAGCATTCATCCTGAACCGGGATCGAACTCTCCATGAGATTCATGGATGTAATAAAAGAAACCTGATAGAACAAACTTCAAGTTAAAGTCATGGTACTCCTCGTATTTATAACAAAGTTTTTCCAGTGTTAGATACATTACTTTCACCATTTACAGTTACAAGTATCAAGAAAGGTTAGGTTCACAGAGAATTTGGAACTATCTATGAAAAATGTTATATGTTATAAAATCTTAGGCAATATCTTATGGGATCAAGACATTATATTTACATGCCTGAACAAGAGTAGCATCAACAATCTACAAGTTTATCATTTGACATAGAAAATAGATTTAAATGATGTACTCATCACAGATAATCTGGGCAACTGCTTGAAAGGAACCAAGAATTGCATAAACATTTGTTTTCTTTAATATCTAGAGTGTTAGATAGATAGTCAAGTTTAATAGAACCCAAGAGAAAATGGGAGTCTGATTAATACAGGGTTAAATACAGCATTAGAGTTACTTTTAAGTGATCTTTATGAAAAGATCGTTATTTGTTAGTTTCTCCATGTGGAATGGTAAATTGAGTTCTTTAAAAACAATCATTCACATTCCAAATTAAAAAATTCAACTACTTTACTAATTAACCAATTACGATGTAGATGTAGTCTTAGTACATAACATTGTATAACACAGTGAATATCCAGCTAAAAGCTATAACAATCTATTCAAAAGAAAACTAAAGTAACCGGAAGAAACATACAATTTTGAAGACGTTTGTCCACATCACCAATGCACTTGAATGCCCCCAATAAGTTCAAATCAGGTCAAAACTTTCTACTTTATGCCAGAGGTTGCATATCGAAAGCCACATATGTATCTTCATTCAATCAACCTGGTAGAGGTCTTCTCCAAAACAACAGAACAAAATGGATATCACTCCGTTGTATGGTTTGCATTCAAAATCAAATGACGCTATTGGTAGTTGAGATGGCAAATGAGGAAGATATTCGTAGATCCAACAGAAAAAGAACACTAAATATTGAATTCTTCCATAGCTAAGGAAGGTGTAAAAAAATAGAACCAAGATCACATCTAATTGCACTTTTTATAGACCTCCACAACTAGAAGATATTTCCAAAAAATATTCCAAAAGTGCAAGCTTTCATGACAACATACATCTCAATGACTGTAATACAAGGCAAAGATGAGCAAAGAAATATATAGTTTCACTGAACGACCTTCATAAAACATATTCCACATTGATGTAAGAGCAAACAAATGTTAGAACCTGCAGAAATATGAAAGAACAATTGAATGCTCGAGCCTGCAGAAATGCTCGTATCATATGTGAGCGACCATATAATATTCAATGCCTAGCTAGCCCTAGAAACTTCAATCTGATTCAATTCAAGACAATCAGACTAAAAATTCAAAACCTCACTCCATAACTGGTACGTAATACGGACCCAATATAATCAACGAGAAGAACTGCAAAAATTCATTACACACACTGGCATAACATAACCCCCAAAATTTAAACAGACACATAGCAGGAACTATGACTAATGGCAATAGCGAGAAATTACGAAACACTGAAACATCTTACCTTACTGCATCAAGCTACTTGCTGATCCATACGATGATTGAAGTACTCGAAAGCAAGGTTCAGCTACTTGGGGGGGGGGGGGGGGGTTCTCAATTTCAACTTATAGAAAAATGAATTGAAACGGCAGTAATTTGCTGAAATCAAATAAGCTAGAAGACTGGCAAACAAGATTCTTCAGCTCCGATTAGGCGAAAAGGTGAAGATTTCGAGAAACTTGCAACTGGGTTTTCAATTGACAGTTAAGGGTTGATTAAAGAGATCTGTAATGTGCGAATTCTACGAACTAACTAACTAAGACAATTGATCAAACAACGAACAGACCACGAACCCTTTGGTAGAAAATTCGATTTTAGCCACAAAATCGAAGGGTTTTAATGGTGTTGAGGAGCAACGAGAGAGGGTTAGTGCTTGTGCCTTGATTCTCTTATGAAGAATCGATCCTCGACTCTCTTTTTTCTTTCTATTTTTCCCTCTTTTCTATTTTTTTTTTTTCCGGTCTTCGATTACACTTTGTGCCTTTGTTGCTTGTAGCTTGGTGGTTTGTCCTCAATCGGTTTAAATAATGCAAGTCGACCTCGAATATCATTATATTCGATTCGAAACCCAATTTTCAAGTTCGATTTTGACTCTGAAAATCTTACGAGTAGTCAAAATTAAAACTCGAAAACTATTTTTCAAACTTGAACTTGAATCAAGATCGAACCAAGTTCACCCATTGAAATTTATGAAATCTTAGGGTTTTTCTTTTATAAATTTTAAAACTTAAAGGTGTTCTCTTAGTTTTTATAAAACTAAAGAGATCAACTTCAAATTTCATCATCAACAAAGTTAAAAATTTCATTCATTTCTCTCTCTTTTTATAACATCTTGTATCCCTTTCTTTCGAGTATAAGACATTATTTTTTATTTTACAAATTTCATCGTAAAAACTGATTATATATAAAATAATCGAGAATCTCACGAGTTTTTCAAGTCGAGTATTGGGTAGCTTGACTCGACTCGTTAATATGTCGAGTTCGAGTCGAGCCTATTCGAGTTGTGTCGACCGAGTTTTGACCAAGTCGATCTCGAGTAGCTCACGAGTTGTCTTGTATGGTTTACATCAATAGTCAAGGCTGCCGATTTTGATCCTTAAGGTTTAAAACTTGACACTATGTGTCCCTACAACTTTATAGCATTTTCACCTTTGTAGGCATCAAAGTAGTAATGCTTTTCTATTTACTTGAAGTGATACGGGAATAACACTCTCAAACAACTGTTAATTTTGACTTAGATCTTTCGTACCCTGGTTCAATAAATGTCGTCTTCGATTTTAAACCCATTTATTGAGACATCTTTAGCAATCTCTTTTAACAAAAGCATAAACGTAAGTTTCAAACTAAAGCATACATATTTATGTATTAAGCTTACAATATACCGTCTTCGGTATAAAACACAAAAATATTTCGATCGTTTTTACATTTTTATCCATGTTCATATGTCGTCACAAACAAAATTTCAATGGTACAACATGCAAGAGTGCGGTCATAAAAGTTATCTATCGATGTAATGACGATCCATAATCTAATTTACTACCGTCTGAAAACAAATGAAATATTTGGTATGTAGTTAAGACCTCAGTGAGGTTATATATGGAATTATATCTTTGCAAACTTCAGTTGGTTTAGTAGGATAACGTATTTGATTCAGTAAAGATTGGGTTATGCTATAATTTACTTTTAAAGAAGCAACGATGAAGAGATATTTATATCAGGAATAGAATTGTTTATGGACAGAACGGCTCGTTAGATCCGACCTGCTAAAAAAACAGACTTGAATGACTATTTTTTTAAAAATTAATTAGTGAACTAAAATTAATGGGATGGCACAACCATACAACAAAAAGGAGTTGGATCAGCCTGTTTATCGTTTCATAATCAATTGAATTTTACAGTTAATATTTAATAAGTTCTTCTAAAAGAAATATCTGTAGACTTGAGATTGTACTTCCCACAGATAACGGCGATGAAGATGAAGTTAACAGGCACTATATTACTGTTAAATAAAAACTATTATGCACACTTGTGTATTTATATATGGGCAAATTGCATGAAAAAGTAATTTACTTTAACTTGATTCGTATTTTAAGTAATGTACTTTCAAAACTTTCATTTTGGTACCAAAGATGTAAAGTTTTATACATTTAAGTACCTGGGTAACCGGTTGAAGCATTAACCCGGTTACGATATTGATGTGGTGAGTGATGTGATATACGTTTAATGCTTCAGCAAATAATACTGAGTTGGATACCACAAAATGAGAAATATATGGAACAATCTCATTTTCACATATAAACAAAAATATATGAAACAATTTGATCAAGAAAAAAATTATATGAAACAATTTGGTCATATTGAACACTTTCATGAAACAATTTTATTCAGCTTAAACAACTCCATGCCATGATGTGAACACTCAAGGGCATTTATCTAGTAAAAGTTTACTGGGTGATTGCGATCTAAGTAAGATATTTGATCCGAATAAATACTGACCGAGTAAGTGAAACTTTTATGTTGACCGAGTAAGTGCTTAGGCAGCATCATCAATCAGATTAGTGACTTAAAGTAAACATGCCAACTGCTTACCCAGTCAGTAGTAAGTAAACAAGGCTTTAGCTCTAAATAAAACCAAACCAATCAAATTCAGTATATCTCACATTTAGGTAGAGGATGATCCCAACAGATTCATGTCTTATTATCTGTCTCTTGATTTGGCAATGGAAGGTGGAAACCAATTCTGTTGTTTCTGCAAGTTCCTGGTATTCCAAAGCTTTGGCTTGCTAAATGCTTTCTTCAGATCAACCAAAAAGCAGTCTTGATTTTCCGAAAATCGCCAGAATTAAGAGAGAAATGTATTGAACCCATAGAGCTATCGTGTTGGATGATAATATTTTCAACAAGATAAACACCGGGGAAGATGCCAAATAGGGTTCGTTTGCAGCCATATCCTTCACTGACCTTCTGTTCCATGACCGACCAACTGTCGGTCGAGATTTGAAAGAGTTGATTTCATGTTCAGTCAAGTACAGTACAGGATCGAGTCCTGGAAACGAGATAGAAAACAAAGCCGTATTAAACAATAAGTCTTATGCAAAATGGACATCAAACTACGGAGGTGGCAAAATAATATCAGTGACCAATTAGATGGCTAAACTTAGAGCATCCAAAACGTATTTGAAAACTTATTGGCCACATAAGAACAATGAAGAAGCACCGACCAAAGAAAAAAAACGCATTTTTGCTTGTAGAGTTACGAGCAAGGTTTTTGAATGTGGGTCCCACATTTCTTGAAAAAGCTCACTCAAAGGCTGTTTGGTTGGTTTTCCACCAAGTCCTGTATGGATAAAGCTGTCTGTGTGGATTAATTTGTCGGTATAAAGTAAGAAGTTTTTTGTTTGGGGGGGGGGGGGGGTTATAGGTGGAAGAAACGTGATTTTTAATTGTAAGGAACAGGTTTGGAAAAAACTTGGTTTTTGCATAAAGCTCCTCTATATCATTAAGCACTACCAAACAGTCATGCATAGCTGACTGAATAAGCTACAAGTCACATTATGCTGCTAACCAAGAGGCCCTGATGCTCCACCATTGTGGATGCTTGATGGAGCTTTTTCATAAGCTTTTTTGTCGCCTGATATTTTGAAAAACTAAAAAACTTCATTTTGTTTATAACTGCACAAGCTCTTAATAAGCTTACGGGTCCTATGTTTGTGCGTTTTTATTGGTCACAAAACTTATGGTTTGAACCCTTGACCTCTTGGGAGGTCGGGCTCTATCAGGTACCACCGAGCCAATCGCCCTTTGGTACCAGCGAATAATTTCACCACCATGGATGCCCCACTATGCGACATCAAAAAAAACAGTGAGTATAACAATATGCAAAACACTACCTGTAGATCATTGATAGAAGTGCAAAAGAGAGTTTAGATCTTTTGGACCATGATGGCGAATGCTCTTTGTCTTATTCATTAACACGATTGAGGGCACACCAGCAATCTTATGTAGAAAGAAAGCACTGCATTGAATACATGAAGCACGTAAGTTTTTATGAATCCAACTCCGTCATTAACCATTAGACCTCAATGATCATAAGTTCATAACCCAAATACTCAACAAGATATGGCTCTGAGCATAACCCACAAAAAATTACCATTACTTTGAACGTAAAAGGTGGTGCAAATACAATGTGATCGAGCCCATAACGTACAGAGTTCAAGAGAATGTAGGATTTCTGAATGAACAAGTGATATATGATAGAAACTGAACTAAATGCAGCAACATTACAGAGAAAAGGTTAAAGAATGTTTAATCATGACATGATGAATTTGTGGATACATGGAACTGAATCACCAGTAATGACTTTCTCAAACACACAATATGCTTATTGCCAAATGTGCAACAAGAACCCTAAACCCTAATTAAAGAAAACAGTTCATGCAATTCTTGACAATAAGCAATCTAATAAACAGTGTAACAGCCAGAAATTGATGGAAACTACATGAAATAGAGTAATTTGGATTAATCAACGACAACAGGCAAACCAATTTAAACGTAATTGAAATTTTGGATATAAAATTATTGGGAATAAACTCTTAATCGGTAAATAAAACCAGACTTCGATCGGCCAAGAGGGGAAAATGGTGATGGGAGATTGACGCTTTAGATGGTGCACGATTGGATCAATTGGAGGAAGACATATCGATGATGAGGAAACGGAAGACCAAATTGACAACATACCGAACATCAGGAGTGCAGAGAAATTCATCGATGATGCGATTTTAAATCCAGGAACGGAACCCTAATTCATCCTTCTTATCTCCTTCTCCTTCGCTAACTTGCGTTCTCGTCCAAAAGGTTTTATGCAATCTATCTATTATGGGTCACTTCACACACGTAAGGATATAAACGATTCTAGACATGCCCATCAAGATTCAAGATACTGATGAACTTCAACAAACTTATTAGGTTTTGTGAAACGTAACCCTTTCTCCTCTAATCTTTCTGTGTTTTCTTGACAATCTGATGTTGTTGGGCGAGAGTGATGATGATTTTGGCAGATTATGAAGGTCAATATCCTTGAAGGTCCCGTCGGTTTCCATGCAAGAACACTCGACTTGATATGGGACATGCCCGTAGCAGGGTAAATTACCATTTTCATTTTAAAAATTATGATTTTTGTTTTTATAATTTATGTGGTGTTTGGGATTGCTTATCTAAAACAACTTATATTTTTTTATAAAAAATGTTTATTAACTTATGTGGTATTAAATCAGAGTTTTGTAACAAGTGTTTGGATTAACTTATGGCGGTACCAAAAAGCAATAAGTTTTAGTGTTTGACAAATTTTGCTTATATATGTAAAATGACCAAAAATGACAGTCTTCCATATTATTGACTTATTTATTTTTTTAACTTGTAATTTTTTTTCATCATTTATAATAATATATTTGACAAAAATTTATATGAATAAGATTAATAATTAACAAACATTAATAAAAAAAATGGTTAAAATGGTAAACTGATAATAAACAGTTTTTCATAAGTCATGAAAAATTAACTTATCTGAAACTGTTTATTACCAGTTTGGCACCGATATAAACATTTTTATTTTTCCTCGTCCAAACACTAACATTTAGGGGCTGTTTGTTTGGCTCTTAATGATGACATTAAGAGTCAACCTCTTAATCGGTAGAAGGTAAGGGCTGTTTGGCAAAAAAATATAAGCCTCTTAATGGTTACATTAACCTCTTAACCATTTTGTGTCTAGGGCCTCACTCAACCATTCAGATTGCATTTGTTCCATCTTTACCCTTCCACACCCCTTCTCTTCCAGCCATTTTATGTCGCCTTCACGAGAACTCGTCGCCTTCCACAGCCATCGCCGGTCACCTCCACCGTCTCCATCGCCGGTCACCTCCACAGCTTCGCCGGTCACCTCCACAGCTTCGTCGGTCGCCATCGCCGGTTGCCCTTCCCACCCCTCTTTTCCAACGATTGAGGAAGATACTCTGTTTATTTGGAACCCTAGTACTAGAAGATCGATCAGGTTACCATATTGTGGTTTCAAAGTGCAGTCTGGTTGGTATGTGTTGTATGGTTTTGGGTACGATGAGTCCACTGATGATTATAAAGTTGATGGAATTTCTTGCGTTTTCAAAAATGGAGCTAAGTATGACACCAAGGTGAAGATATATTCGTCGAAATATGGTAATTGGAAGAAAATTGGTGATTTTCCTCATGGTATTCCCTTGGATGATTATGGTAAGTTTTCGAATTGGGCAGCTAGTCGAGATTTCGGCTCATCTTACTCGTGGACAATAGTTTCTCTTGATTTAGCAAAGGAGACTTATGGTGAAGTTTTGCAACCTGAAGGTGATAAGGATTTGGCATTGGGGTACCAAAATGAAAGTTTTAAAAATACGTTATCCAAAACAAAAATCAAGTTAAAATACGTTATTTTTTCATACAGTTTACCTTTTATATATTTTTAAAAAATTCTCATTTTTCCTATGCATACACATCATAACTTATCTTACAAACCATGACATCCATAAAAATAACATCACAAAGAAGATATCTCCCAAACAATAAACAAGAAATATCCTTCGAGGACTTGGACACAATCTCCAAGTCGGATCTTGAAACATTCATTATAGGTCCATAGAAGAACATCTTAAATAGCATATTAACTAGACGTTGCCGATTTGCCATCTTATTAGAAACAGTCACTACGTATCTATTAAGCTTAAATAAGTCCAAGGTTTCTCATATAAACATTTCAGCAACTTATTTAATAACAACAATTCAAATGCACACAACACAACCACGCATAACATTCTAAAAATCGTCATACTTCGAAAACAGTTATGCATATCTATACATTAACAAACATGCATTAAATCAATCTTCTTCTCCTTTGTTTCTCACAGGAACATATGTTAGCATTCAATTCCACCGATTTATTCAATCAAAAAGTCTCTCTTTAACAGGATCATATCATCACAAAACCATAATACAGACAGAAACCATCTACTTCACTACTCAAAACACTTGTAATCATCCACATACAAGTCTATAACAAACAGGAAATGAAAATTGAAGTATACCTGTTATGTTTCTTTCTCCAAATTGGCAGTGGCAGTGGCAAGATCTTCATCCAATTGGATATCCCAAGCCCCATCCCACCTGATGAAGAACTCTGTATCCTCCAAATATTTAACCCTATGAACATCTCCAGAAGGGGTAAACAAGAAATCACCAACACCCAATTCGAATCTCTCTCTTTTAGTCAAGTTCCAAACAATCTTTCTTCCTTTCATCACCACCACATCATGGCCGTGTTTATGGTGATGAGCCGGCTCGATGCTCCCAGCCGTGAATCTGACTACAGCCGATGTCGGTGTTTCTCTGACGATCTTCATAGACCCACCGGGAATGATTTCAATTGGAGAGAAGTCACGGCCGGCGGCTAAGTTGCAGATCGAGCAAGAGGATGGGGAAATTGGCGGAGTAGTTCCGATCTTAGCCATTTCTGTAAGTGAATTATCGAAAAATGTTTGGATTTCTTCAGGCCAGGGTTCCGATTTCGAAGCAGGACAAGGTGATTTGAAGGGAGTGTTGAGGAAATTATTTAGGGTCTCGATGGCGGTTTCGAGAGAAGTGGACATGCCGGAAACAGCGATAACGTTGCAGTTGTTGATTGAGCGAGCGTTGATGGCGTCAGAGGGAGTGAGGCAGGTGGCAGCGTAGACGCCGGGGAACTTGTTCGCGAAGATAGCAACACCTACGCCAGTACCGCAGGCGACGAGACCACGGATCTCGGTTTCGGAGGAATTGGCGGAGGAGCTGACGATCCGGCCGATTTTTTCGCCGACGTAGTAGTAGTCATCGGAGCCGAGGTCCTCTACTTCGATGGCGATGGATTGAAGGTAGGAGACGAGGGCATCCTTGAGAGCACAACCAAAAGCGTCTGCACCGACGACGATTTTGAGACGGCGGTGGGGGTTTTGGGCCATCGTATGGAGGCGGTGTCTGTGGACAGCAATGGAGACTCGTACGGAAAGACTGAAGCTAAATCTGCATGTATATGCATCATCCGTAGATTCTCGAAAACATAAGACCATTTTTTAATTAAAAAATTATCTTAATCTTAAACCATACATATTTTTTGTATTTCTTTAAAAAAAAATACATTTTACTTCCAACTTATCAAATTCACAACTTATATAAAAGTCCACAATAATAATTTTATAATAATTTTTAATATCAATAATTATTACACATACTTAAATATAAATATATAAAACAATTAATAAATTGTCATTTCACAACAACTTTAAAGTAAGGATTTTGATTCTTATCATGAAATTTGTGTGAAATAACAATTTTCTAGTTTATATATATATATATATATATATATATATATTTTATTGACTTTATATTTATTAATATTGTGTATATAATAATTATTAATATTAAAAAAAACATGACCAGAAAAGGAGATTCTTATAAGAAATTTCGTTGTGGATTTTTATGTGAGTTCTTAATTTGATAAGTTGGAAGTGAGGTGACAATAAAATGCAAAAAAGAGGTTCTTATAAGAACTCTTTACAATGTTGGTTCTTGTAAAAAAAAACTATAATTTTTGTTTATAAGAACTTTGCATTGGAAATTCTGTAAGAACATCTCTATAAAAACTTTTTTCTTGCATTTTTTGTTGTCACCTCGTCAAATTAAGAAATATCTTAAAAATTTACAATGATAGTTCTTATAAGAACCTTCTTTTTGTAGGTCTTACTGATTTTTTTCAACATCAATAATAATTATAAAATTAAAAAATGAAATAAAAACTAGGAAAATGTCAATTCTCATAGACTTCATGGTAATAACCTAAAGATAATAAGGTTTTTATAATAACTCTCCAATATAGTAATTCTTACAAATCACTTCACTATCTGTTAATAAGAAGTTTGCGATATAAAAGCACCTCTAATGCAAAGTTCTTATTATCAAAAAGTGTAGTGGTTTATAAGAACGACTGTTGTAGAGAGGTTCTTATACGAACCTTATGTCTTCTAGATGTTTGAACAAAAACATTGGTTCTTATCATGGGAGTTTGTGAAAAGTGATATTTTTTTTCTTGATTTTATAACTATTACTATAGATTAAATATAATAATTATTGATGTTGAAAGAATCAATAAGAACTACAAAAAAGAGATTCTTATAAGAACTATCATTGTGAACTTGTAAAAGAATTCTTAATTTGATAAGTTAGAGACTGGTTGACAACAAAAAAATATAAAAAAGAGGTTGTTATAAGAACCTCCAATACTCCCACTTTTTCAACTTTTTTGTCTAAGTCATTTTCAACTCATTAAATTAATAACCTAAATAAAACTCCACAATGATAGTTCTTATAAAAATCCTTTTTGTGGGTCCCATGTATAATATAAGTTACATAAATATATACATATTAATTAATATATTGAATATAAAAGTCAAAAAAAACATATTAAAACTAGCATATTGTCAACTTTACATCAATTTCAAGGTAAAAAACAAGGTTCTTGTAAAAAAAACTCAAAGAGGGTGAGATTCTCACAAGAACCCTACAATGTTAGTTCTTATAAGAAGCTATATTTTTTGCTTATAAGAACGGGGATGCTCCAAGGACCTTAGGTAAACAACTTTAAAGTTTTATTTCAATTTTTATTTATTACAGATGATGTTAATTAATAAGATTTATTTGTTTTTATAAACCGATAAATGTTTGAATATGTATCCGAAACATATTCACTAAAAACACAACATATGATGTTATAAAATAAAGTTCCAAATTGACAAATATTCATATAAATTCTTTTGAATCCACTCCAAACTTCTGAGGCACATTGGTTTTTATTTGCTCAAAAAACATGTTGAATCAACACTCCAACCATAAATGGTACAAACCAGGAGCTTGATACTTGCTAATGTGTTTAAAAAAGAACTCCTACCCCCTAAAGAATTATAGTTTTCAAATGGCTTATAACAATTCTATGCTTCATTTCAAAAAGGTACAAGAACTCAGATGACTTGTAAATTTTACTTGGAGGTGTAAGTAACCAAAATCCGCGACAAGTACAACACGGCGGTTTATTTCTGATACTGCTCGACACCAACTCTATGTTCCCGCAACAAAAATTACAATCCAGCCTTCTTCTCCAGCTTCTGAATTTGGTTAAGGAAGATCCATGTCATCTGTGTCACCAAAAATCCACTGATCAGAAACATACATATAAAAATTAACTACCCTTTTTTGACTTTTGAGGTCAAATATACTCCTTTCTGCATCCAAAATCGAGAAAGAAAAGAGTACCATGACATGAGGGGCAATCCTAACACAATATACTGGAAACCCTGTATAGAATTTGAAGGGTCCCCCGGCCTTGAGCGTTTTCATGGCACAATCTAGAGATCCCGTGTAAGGGTATTTCCCCGTGGCATCAGGCTGCATCTTCTGTATTTGAGTTTTCACATAATCGAAAGGCAAACTGCACGCTGCAGCAAAGAATCCCGATACAGAACTCGCACCTGCCAACCAAAAGAAAGAAAAAAATAAACAAAACATCTCTAGCAATCCTTACAAATACAAATCTTGATATCATTGACGTAGGCCTTGTTTGTTAGCAGCTTAATGAGCTTAATCGGACTGAAAACTTATTTGGTAAGCTATTTATGACTGTTTGGTAGTGGCTTAATGATATAGAAAGTGGTTTATTCACAGTAAGCTTCTAAGGGGAAGCTTTATGCAGAAAGCCAAGTTTTTTTTCCAAACTTGACTCTCTCAGTTAAAAACACATGCTCATTTCATCTATGAAAACACTCTCCCTAACAAAAACCTTTCCAATCTATACAGACAGGTTAATTTATATAAGACTTGATGGAAAACCAACCAAACAACCCCCAGTCCACAGAGATTTGTGTTTTATTGAAGGCTATGTTAGATATTGGACTAATGAGTAAACACTTGCATCAAACAAAACATCCAAACAAATGAAATTAAAATTATGCAGATTTAATCTTACCTAGAATTGTAGCACCCTCACCAAAACCAAGATTGTCCTTAAAGAACTCCACACTTTGATCATAAGAAGCAAGCATTCCCATGTTCAAAGCCATAGCCCTAACCACGGTTGGACCAGCACCTTTCCAAAGAGCCAATACTCCTTCATCGGCACTAATCCTATACAAAGCATGGAATGCATTTGTGTAGTTACGACGTTGGGCAGCAGGTAATGTTGCATCAGCCTGCATACGAATCAATGCCAAATCAGCCGGGCTTCCCACACACGCTCCAATTGCTCCAGCAGTCAGCCCACATAAAGCTTTCTGATATAAAGGCAGAGGCTTTCCTTCATTCGCCTCAAGTGCCTTGTTTGTCAGAATCCTATCGAGTAATTGAAATATCACATGAAAGTAAGTTCATCGTATTGTAAAGCAACAGGAAGACATTCATGGGATGCATATGAACATTAATGGTAGCACCTGAATCAAAGAATTGATAAAAGTATGATAAAGAAACAGAAGTAGTACCTGAATGTACCAAGTCTGGCAGTTGTATATGTAGCTTGCCTAAGCAATCCAGCAGACAGGCCCTGCTCAACAATCAAATTGAAGACTTTATCGATTCTTTAAAGCATAAAAGATCAATTAAACTATATGCCAATATATAAAATCATGCTATATCACAAAGTGTTACACAAATCCAGGTATCTTGTGTGCCAAATCCCGGAAGGAACGTGGACGTTTTATAATAAAGCCTCACAGTCAAGGCATCGGAACATCTTTACCAATGATCAGATAAGCAAAAACAACACGAGCACAAATTGACCATTCAAAAACTGAAGGATTGACCGTAGATGTATATGAAAAGGACAAACCTTATAGAAGGCACCGATACCCTCGTTCTTCAGCATAGTCTTTGTCACTGAGCCTGCTGATCCTTGACCCAATTGGATTCTAACCTATAAATTGCACATCCATAAGAAAAAAAACATTATACATCCGGGAGATTTACATAAATGGTCAAAGCTGACAGGTTTTTCACTTTTTAGCCATTTTCTGATCCAAATTCACTTTTTAGCCGATACTAATGTAGAAGGTTTATGCATATGTGTAAGGATCGTTTTTCGGCAAAAAAAACAAGATTCGTTACACATATGCGTAAGGTTTCTGCGTAAGGATCCTTTTTTCTTTTGACCGAAAAACATTTCTCAAATGCGTAGGCCTTCTACTTAAGTATCGGCTAAAAAGTGAATTTGGGTCGCTAAAAAGCAGAATCATATTTACTGATAGGCTATTTTTGTCATACATCAACATTCCAAATCAAAGAAACGCCTATGAAGACTCATAACTCTGTGCCAAATCTGCAGCTCTAAAAATTGATACAAGAAGATTTGATCCAACTTAAGACAAAAAAAGCAGGTTAAAATTGTCACCCAGAGTAACATGTTCCATACATCAAACTTCATCAGGACACAATCAAACATCAGACATCTCCAATCATAAAAAAGTACACAATTCATCTTTATAGTTACTGTATGGGATTTTGATGAAGGCCATTATAAGTATATCGTCTGAAACCATCCGATCCAGGATGAATAATTCCATTTAAGATAAAACGCAATACTCGGTTGTTCCGGTTGCTAAAACCAAATCAAATGACGGGGAATCCACATAGAGAATTGAAACCTAACATGAGATCTAATACACACAGACAGACTCCTATCACTGTGAGCTGAAGAAATCCACTAATTACAATTATGAGAAACCAATCTTCATCTAAAGAACAAGATCTAAAAAAACACTTAAACCCCAGTCGTATAAGAAGTTAAAACGCAAAATATTTACATACCTTAATCATATCGATGGGTTGGATGACACATGTAGCAAGCATACCAGATGCTCCGCCATTGACAAACGGCTTAACCGTCGGCCATACACCTCCGATTGGCTTTGGCTTCTCCTCTCCCATTTTGACAAAATTTTGGAAAAATCAAAAAAGGAGGGGGAGAGATAAAAGGAGGCGAACGCAAATGGAGAAAGAGATTCGAATGGAGCAGCAGAGAAACAACACAAATATATATACCATGATAACCCCCCCACCTCCCCTTTGATGTTATATTCGTCGAATATTCACATCTGGTCCCTAGGTTTTCCATCAATTTGCGAATCTACCACTACTATTTTATTGACGAAAATGCCCTTCCTATGATACAAATTTTAACGTTTCATTTTATGTGAGCATAAATTCCATCTTCCTACAATGTTTTTATTTGTGGGATAAATGTATATTAATCTATTAATTATTTTCTTTTATATGTATATATATATATATATATATATATTAACGGGACGTTTGATTTGCCGGAATCCATCGGAATTTGATGGAATTGGAATTATCAATTCCATTGATCAAATTTCATTCCAATGTTTGGTTACCTATGGAATGTGGTTTCTCTATTCAGCGATCTCGTTTGGATTTCTTTATCAATTTTCTAATTTCTTCCCGTAGGATATCACTATGGCTCCGTACATCGTTGTGGTGGTTTGTAGTTCGTTTTTGTTTCATGTCTTCATAAACGTGGATCTCGTTAAGTATTTGAATATTTGGAGATATAGTGAGGATGAAACTGAGTTGCCGGAATAAATTAAAAAAAATTTAATTTTATTGTTACTTGTAATTAAAAAATATCAAAGAAAGGGTATTTTTGTCCTTTTTCATCGTTTCATTCCAATTCTGTTGCAAACCAAACAGACAAATTCCAATTCATTAGACAAATTTCATTTCATTTCTGCCAACCAAACACTTGGTCAAACCTAATAACATTTCATTCTAAATTCTTTCTTGATTCCAATTCTTTTGACAAATTCTATTTCTTAAAAAATCATTATGTAAACCAAATGCCATATATCAGAACATATTTTTTGTATATGTTACTATATAATTTAATTTGATTTTTATATAAATAAATATGCATATAATAACATGCCTTTATTTTAATATTTGTTGAATTCAACTTTGCATCACTTGTAAATTGTAATATGGAGTTTATGTGAAGCAAAGTTGACATCCCTTTTCTTTTATTGGACTTCTAAAAGTAGTCAAGGGCACAATGGTCATTTCAAAAGAACCCAAAGATTCATGGGTATATGGGGGGTGGGTGATGGGGTATCTTTCAAGATTCCTGCAATGACAAGTTGTAAACAGATGGTGATAGGCGATGGTTTCGGTAACACATTCTTGTACTGTAAGGGTAATTTAGGAAGATTACGTGAAAATTGATGGCAAGGATTATGGTTGCTTTTATCGAGGACCCCCACAACCACCATTCCTATTGCACCATCTTCTTGTACTGAATTTCCAATTCTAACCTCGGGTTTAGAAGACTTTTCGATGTCCACGTAACCAATTGTCGGCTTATTGCATTGGGCAAATAACTCGTGATGGGCCCCCCAACCGTTTTTGTCATACGTCACAGGTCACAACTAACTCTCTGCAACTTTATGTGTGTTATTTTGTACGGTTGTTTGTTTTCAGCTATTGGTGTATCCGGGTCGGATCAGACAACATATACGGACCTACATTGGTGCCAACAATGACACGTGTCATCGTATTATTTATTCGTCGAAAGTTGAAAAAAATTAGGTTCGTAAAATACTAAAACGTGTAATCGTATTAATTTGTTGTGTTTCACCGTATGTATTTTGAAACTATAATATGAACAAGTTTTATTTGGTAGAGTTTCTTTGCAAAAACAAATAAGTATATCGACCTTTAAAAGAATAAACTAAATACATCTTTCTATTGATCAATTCATTAGAGTAAAAGCCCATAAATGGCATGTTATCCCTTCCCAATTCCCATGTATATAAATACAACCATGTTATTGGGCCTCACAAGATGGACACAAAATTGGGCCCAAAACCAAGCTTTATTAACATGTTTGTGGTTGATTTCATATCTCCATTTGTGTAAAGGTTGACTTCTAAATATGGCAAAAAAAAAATGCATTGACAAGAACGAACCCGGTTTAATTCAGGAATTTTGAGTTTATTACAAACGGAAACGGAGATTTGGACGAGGGTGGGGATGGTCATATCCCTCCGTTCTCGAAACTGATACATTACATATCATGTTATGTGATGGTTTTAGAATTATCGAATTTATAGTTTAATTATTATTGATGATTATATCTTAATTATTTTACTTCTAGTAAAATAATATATTTATTAAAATAAGATAAAAAAATATTTAATATGTGGAAATAAAAAGTAACCATTTTGAGACATCTAAAAGAAAAAAGAAATCAAAAATTAACAATAATCTGTATTTGATAGGTATATAATAATGTTTGACTAGAAATTAATAAGAAGTCGTTTACCAAACACTTACCCAGTAAGTGTTTACTGGTAAAATTTAACACCATTATTTATTTATCAGGTAAAATTTTAATCCACCAAAACGATATCGTATGAAACAATTTACCCGATAAGCGCTTACCGTAGTAAGAGTACTTGTCCTCGCTTATCGGGTAATATTCTTGGTCCTTACCATCTTCATCCGGTGAGGTAGTGTGACTTGGTAAGGGCTTACCTCGGTAAGTGTTTGGTAAACGACCCCTAAATGGTTTTTAAATGGCTTCATCCTGAGATAAACAAACAATCTCGTAGTATTGATTAGTAATTATTAATTAATGAGAATAAAAATAAAATAAACTGTTTGATTTTATATAATATAATGAATTCATTCATTCATAAGCCTAAATTTTCATTTCAAGATAAACTGGGAGAATAAAAATAAAATAAACTGTTTGATTTTATATAATATAATGAATTCATTCATTCATAAGCCTAAATTTTCATTTCAAGATAAACTGGGAGAATAAAAATAAAATAAACTATTTTCTTATGTTTAAAAAAATAAAAATAATTGGATGGACAAGAGCCACCACAGAAAGGAATATAAGCACGTGAAGTTTCCAATCTCCATTAATTATTTAACCGATCTTGCCACCCCCAGCACCCGGCAACCAGACACCGGTGCATCCATCACTTGTAAGGTACAACTCCTTGAAGCTTATCAGCCCATTTAATGAAGATGGGCCACAACCCAGCCAAACGTAAGAACCACCCTCACCATCATTTAAACCAAGTGGGTCATTGGGCGTGATATGAACCCACATAACGCCCCAACCTTATTAAACCATTGGCTAAAACAATCAACCATGTCCTCCACAATCACGACCTCACCACAACCAAAGTCGACCACCGTCCATTATTGTCACCACCACCACCGATTACCTACTACCATCCATCATCACCACCTCTACCTCCTCCACAACAACCACTTCCACCTTTATATCCACCACTATCGACCATCACCATTCACCACCATCTCCATGTCACCCAGAACCACTGTTGGGCATCGATCACCACCTCCTCTTCCACTACCAACAATAACCACCGTTAACATCATTAAACAACAATTAGGGACAAGTTGTCCTACCCAATCTTGATCGTAGTTGTTTCTTTAGTACATTCATTTGCAAGTGGTATTCAAACTCTAATTTTTGCAACTTTAGCAACGGGCTTATATAGGTGAATTCATAGAGAGCCACCATCGACTAGTTTTCTAAATAGATCAGACAAACAACTTAGTAAACAACAATCGATCATAATTTATGGTGTCAAATATTCAAGCACAAGATTACGAAATCCATTTCCCTTTGCAAATCTCTTGTCAAACTCGAAAGAGCAGAAAACCATTGAGAATAAGCGAAAAGTTTAATTTATACTCTAAAATAAATATATTAAAAATTATTATATTTAAATAGGAATAAAGTGAAAGTTAGTTTTATTTTGATGTAATTATTTTATATATTAAAAAAATATGAAAAAATTATGTATTAAATGTTAAAAGGTTACTCGAGGTGGAAAAGAAATGCGAGGGGTGGGTGGGTAAGCCAAATAATGAAGAGGGCAAAACAGCGAAGCAAACACGTAAGCGCCAGTGCTACTTCCACATGCACTTCAAATATTCTCCGTTTTTCCCATTTTACCCTTTCTAATTTCTATATATTTATACACCCAAAATTATTGTTGTTGTTCAAATGGTAATCTGTTTAGAAAAACAATCTCTAAATTTGGATTTTTCGATATCATTATTTAGAAAAAGCGGTTAAAAAAATAAAAAAGACAAAAGGACAAAACGGTCATTACATAAAGAGTGGGGCGGGAAGGAGAATAAGTCCAATTAAAAGGCGGGACCAGGAAAAGGTGGTGGGCCATGGTTACCGGATCCCAACACATGCTTTTTTTTTTATTTTTTAACAAACAACAGCATTTCCTATATATTCTCAATGTTTTAATAATTCTTTAAAAAAAATTAAAATAAAAAAAAGTAGAAGAAAAAAGTGAAAATTTTAAATCTAAAGAATTTTTTATAATTGATTATTTATTAAAGAGATTTTTTTTAGTTTTCTTATAAATGAGAATCATCGAAATTAAATTTATAAGATAGGGAAATAATATTCTATAATATATATATATATATATATACTAGTTGTGTACCCGTGCAATGCGGCGGGAGCCATGAATTTTAACGATTTTGAAGTTTAAGATAAGATTTAACGATGATATATGTTACACTTGGTCTTTACATATTAATACAATTTGAATAAATAAGAGTTATGGTTCCAATTACAGACTATCGATGAAAAAAATTGTATGACAGTTTAAAATCCAATATATTTAAACGACTCCACAAATGTGTTCGATTTACACCAAGAGCAAATAACCAAGAAATTTGAGTTTTAATATAAACACTCAAAACCAATAAAGAAAACTACAAATTTGACAGATCATAAGCCATGAAAAGACCAAAAAAGATGGATTTTAGAATGAAATTTCAACTGTTTACCCTATTTCTTGTCCAAAAACTCAGATTAAGGTTGAATTAATGCATGTATATATACATTTCAAAAAAACCCAAGAACATATTAATTCAGAACATATTATACAGTGTAATTTGGACAGCCTAACCCCAAAATATATAGTATATATATAAATAAATAACTATAAAAATATAAATCATAAATATTAAAAATATTTTTTTACAGTATATATAACATATAATAATATAATTAAGTCAAAAACTATTCAATATTGGACTCATTTCGAAGGTATTATCGAGCCGATTATAATGGTATAACTTGTTAAAATAAAAATGTATTTTTTAAATATGTTTTAATTGATATACGATTATGTATATTAATTTGATAAATGTTTAAAATGAAACATTTAAAAGTAAATGACGTAAAATAAATTAATTAATTATAGTGGAATAAAGTGTAAATTTAAAATTATAATTTTAAAAAAATGGGTTGTGAGATGGTGGGTGTATGTGAGGAGAAGAGAGGGTGGAAAAGTGAAAAAGTGATAAAGGTATCTTGGTCATTTAGTATTTTAAGACTTTAAGACTTTTGTTAAATTTGGTTTATAAGATAGTATAAATATATTAAATATTAGAATAGTAATTTATATTGTGATATTCAAAATAGGAAAATGTTGGAGATGGATATAAATTTTCTTTAGAATGAGTTTTATAAGTAAAATTTGAAAATAAAATAAAACCATAAGGTTTATTTAAAACTTCTTTAACAACTATCTATATTATACTATAAAATATTTGACAAAAATTCTTAAAAATAATTTTTTATACATAAAGTATTATTTATTGATGCATATTATTTAAAATTCAAGATTACAAGTAGAATGTACATGGGTACATCTTATTAAAGCTCCATGTTTGAATTTGTATAACTAACTGCAGATAAACATAATCAAATACATGATAAACATTATTTTAAATATAAAATGTCTAATATATAATTAAGATAATCGTTGAGTTCTAACAGAATGCTTAATTATTATCTTAAAAATATTATTTTATTAAATCAAAAATAAATTAGTTCGTTATTAAACTTTAATTAATTTATAATAAAATTTTGAATTAAATAAATTACATAAAAACGAGAACTTTTAAATAGTTAATTTGACACTAATATCGCTTATTTTTTTCAAAATTTTATAATATATTCAGTTTTATATTTTATTCAACAATAAAAACATTTTATTTTTTTCAAAATCACATAAAATCGCATTACAAACATTGATAGATCCAAAATATAAAACGAAACATTAAGAATCAAGATGTATCTTGTCAAATTGCACGAGTACCCTCCTAATATTTTTTTTTTGAAGATTTAATTTTTTTTTTGGTTCAACAACCATGCTAAAATTTATGTTAAATAAATGAAAGAAGAGAGAAAATATGGATTTTTTTTTTAAAATATCTCTAAAACTACATATGTATGAGAGATAAAATAATGTTTTAATTGATTTCCATTAATGAAAGAAATTGAAATTAAATTTTTAAGAGAGAGATAATATTTTTATTATATATATTAAATAATTTAATAATATAATTAATGCTAAAATAAAATATCTATTATAGTTTAAACATATTTTTTTAAAGATTTTTTTTATTAATCTGAATATTCAACATGTTATGTGAGCCGACTAATCACAGGGTGACCACCTGATTTGCAGATAGCCCGGAGTCACCACATTTGAACCTCTGTGGCCACAAGAGAATTTTTATTCATCCTTGGATTTGAATTTGGGACCTCGTGGTACTTTTGACATTTGAAGTCAAACTCAAACTAATCACCCTAAAGATTTTCACTTTTAAAAATCTATTTTAAAAGAATTATAAGCTTAATTAATTAATTTAATTCATTAAATATATATATATATATATATATATATATATAATAAACCAAATATATTTTATAACAAAATACATTATTAAAATTCTCTCATCAAGACGATCAAAATGACACAAGTATCGAATACCTAAAAGATATAAAAATCACATAAACTATTCATCGTCTTTCATTTTTTTAACGAGTTGATTTTCGTGTGACTTTATCATTATATTTTTGTATCAATGGATTTTACTATTTACTCTTTCTAATAATATATAAACCTCGTTTCGAAACGTCAAGTAATTATTAAATATTGCTTATTGTAATGTTTTTAAATATTTGAATTTTAATATTAAGTTAAAATTTATGAAAAATATAACGTGAACTTTAAAATGACAAATTAAATAAGGAGCTTTTATAAAACATGTTAAATGGACGAGGGTAGATTATAGGGAAATCGACTCAAATGACCATTTTCACATTCAAATTGCTCTCTTAACCATTTCTCTTTCGGGTTTACCCTAATGTCACTACTTTCGCAATATTCATGTCCGTATTTGAGTCAATTTTGATGATTTATGTATTAAAGATGTTCTAAACGGCATGGGACGCTATTAGGGGTGCTCAAAAACCCGACTAACCCAACCCAACGCGAAATAACTCAATCCGAAGCAACCCAATGTCTAATCGAGTTGTAAAATTTTCAAACCATAAGTATTGAGTTACCATTATTTGAACCCAACTCAACCCAATGAACCCGGTATCCTTTTATTTATTGGATTTAATATGATTGTTTGATTTCTATTAATATATATACATTAGACAATTACACTATCACGTACACTCTTCATACACATATCTTCAATCTATTCACATATCTATATAACTCATTTATCTATACTATCTTATAAAACAAATTTAGCAAAAGTCTTAAAGTCTTAAAATTCTAAATGACCAAAATACCCTTTATACTTACTTTTTCATCACCTCCTCTCCTCACATACACTCACACTCTCATAACCGATTTTTTTTAAATTATAATTTTAAATTTACACTTTATACCTCTATAATTAATTAATTAATTTACTTTACGTCYTTTACTTTTAAATGTTTCATTTTAAACATTTATCAAATTAACATACATAATCGTATATCAATTAAAACATGTTTAAAAAATACATTTTTATTTTAACAAGTTACATCATTATAATCATCTCGTTAATACCTTCGAAATGAGTTCAATATTGAATAATTTTTTACTTAATTATATTATTATATATTATATATACTATGAAAAAATATTTTTAATATTTACGTTTATATTTTTATAGTTATTTATTTATATATATATATACTATATATTTTGGGATTAGGCTGTCCAAATTGCACTGTATAATATGTTTTGAATTAATATGTTCTTGGGTTTTTTGAAATATATATATACATGTATTAATTCAACCTTAATCTGAGTTTCTGGACAAGAAAAAGGGTAAGCAGTTGAAATTTCATTCTAAATCCCATATTATTTTGTTTTTTCATGGCTTATGATATGTCAAATTTGTAGTTTTCTTTATTGGTTTTGAGCGTTTATCTTAAAACTCAAGTTTCTTGGTTCTTTGCTATTGGTGTAAAWCGAATACATTTGTGAAGTCGTTTAAATATGTTGAATTTTAAATATATTGGATTTTAAACCGTTATACAAATTTTTTCATCGATAGTCTATAATTGGAACCATAACTCTTATTTATTCAAATTGTATTAATATGTAAAGACCAAGTGTAACCTATATCATCGTTAAATCTTATCTTATGAAACCAGTGGAACTTCAAAATCGTTAAAATTCATGGCTCCCGCCGCATTGTGCGGGTACACAACTAGTATATATATATATATATATGTCAATTAAAAAAATTAACTGAATGTAATATACTTAAAAAATATGGATAAGTTGTATCAAATGGTCGATGGTGAAAAATAAATTATGAGTAGATAAATAATATATTCAAGGTTAAAAGAATATTTTAATATTACAAAGTATCAATTCGACTAACCCAACAAACCCGTACGGTTTGAGTTGAATTAAGATTTTTCAAACCACAAGCATTGAGTTGAGTTGTTCAAATATCTTCAACCCGATTAACCCAACATATGATAGTTTTCTTTTAAAAAAACTGATATTTTTTAAAGAAAATAATTATGTATAAGAAAATTAAAATCAAATTATATTTTTATGCAAAGTGTCTGCAGAATAGGTCCGAATTAATAATAGCAAAAGACAATTTTACATATAAATAAATTGATTTTCATAACTATTTTATTACTAATTAATAATTTATTCATATACAAACATTAACATTTGTTAAAAAAACCAACGTTCCAGAAAGAATAAAATTTATGCCGAAAGTAACGTAATTAATTGTAATAAATAAACGGTATGAATTTAAAACTGAAATTAGGAAAAAAGGGTTTTGCATTAATTTCATAATTATAGATACAGCGAGACTATATCTATACACACACACACACCCACCCCATGATCATACTCTCTTTATAAGTCCTGAATAGGTCAAGATTTATAGAGGGAAAAAGTAAGGGTTTTCAAGAATCAAATCGAAGCTGCTTCTTCCCACTTCATTCCGAATACAGAGAGATGAGGGAGATCATAAGCATACACATAGGTCAAGCTGGGATTCAAGTCGGGAATTCCTGTTGGGAGCTCTATTGCCTCGAACATGGCATCCAGCCCGATGGCATGATGCCCAGGTTTTTTTTTTGTTCTTTCGATTGATTATACTACTCTTCATGAATTTTATGTTTCTGTAAGCATCTGCAACTTAATCTAGTGTTGTTAGAGAATTCCGTTTGCATTTCTGATTGAAACCTGAGTTTTTACATGATTTTTGCTCTTAATTGGGTAAATAGTCATGGATCTGATTTCACTAGTGTGTGTGTCTGTTTTAACTTCGGATCTCAAAAAAAGCTTAAATGACTATCACGGTTGGATCTTCAATGGCTTAACTCGAATAATTGCATCTCATGATTTGAGTCTCGGAGTCATTTGCTTGTGGTTTATGAATTCACAGATTTCTGTGCGACCTGTGAACGGATCTGGATGGAATTTCTGTTTTGAGTTGCAGTTGACTTGTTTACGGACTTCTTTTACTGCAAGTGTACTTCCATGATCTGTTTTCTTGCCTCATTGATTGTAAATTTTGTACTGAACTGAAGATCTGTTTGGTGATGGAACAATTTTTCCCAATTTGATTAAACCATTCAAACTATTTGCAATTAAGCCTATATATTTGTGGGGAGTTGTATTCACATATATCAACAGAACTGCTTGATAGCCTAACTCAAAAAGTATCAGAATTTCTTTCATTAAGTTGCAGAGATGTCATTTTTGGCTAAAATATTCATGATTTTGCAGTGATTCAACGGTTGGTGTTGCACACGATGCATTCAACACGTTCTTTAGCGAAACCAGTGCAGGAAAGCATGTGCCAAGAGCAATATTTGTCGATCTTGAACCAACGGTCATTGATGAAGTGAGGACAGGGACTTATCGCCAACTCTTCCACCCCGAACAGCTTATTTCAGGAAAGGAAGACGCTGCTAATAACTTTGCTAGGGGTCATTATACAGGTACTCATTGTTATCCCAACCATCTTGTTTTAGTTTGCAGAAATACACACAAGGGAAAGCTTTTAAAAGCCATCAAACACCTTAAAGAAACGATATGAAGATAAACAAGTTGTTTTATTTCAGTGGGGAAGGAGATTGTCGACCTTTGCCTCGATCGAGTAAGGAAATTAGCCGATAACTGTACCGGCTTGCAAGGCTTTTTAGTGTTCAATGCTGTTGGTGGAGGTACTGGTTCGGGGTTGGGATCTCTGCTGTTGGAACGCTTGTCTGTCGACTATGGAAAGAAGTCGAAGCTTGGGTTCACCATCTACCCTTCTCCTCAGGTGATTTATACTACAAACTTTGTACTTCTAGCTGATAAGTTAGCCGACGAAATAGTAATGTTTGGTAAAAATTAGCTGATAATCTTAAAGAACAGTGTAAATGACCTAAAAAGACATGTTTTGGAAAAATATAAGAGGCATAACTGGAAACAAGTGGAAAAAAGCCTCTAGAGCTGCTCAGTGTTTATGGCGAACCAAGCAGGGATTTTTCAATAAGCTTAAAAAATAAGTTAGTTTCAAACATGGCCTAATCCAAACCTGTTATCCTGATTGGGGTAGGTTAAAAAATGAAATCAAACCTTCTAATCTGTTTGTTTATAGGTGTCAACTGCCGTTGTGGAACCGTACAACAGTGTTCTTTCGACACATTCTCTTTTAGAGCATACAGATGTGGCCGTGCTCTTGGACAATGAAGCCATTTATGACATCTGCAGGAGATCACTAGACATCGAGAGACCTACTTATACCAACTTGAATAGACTCATCTCTCAAATCATATCATCTTTAACAACCTCTCTACGGTTTGATGGAGCTATTAATGTTGATATTACTGAGTTCCAGACCAATCTTGTGCCATACCCACGTATTCATTTCATGCTTTCCTCATACGCCCCTGTGATCTCAGCCGAGAAAGCGTACCATGAGCAGCTGTCGGTACCTGAAATCACGAATGCAGTTTTCGAGCCTGCAAGCATGATGGCTAAGTGTGATCCTAGGCATGGCAAGTATATGGCGTGTTGCTTGATGTATCGTGGAGATGTTGTCCCCAAAGATGTTAACGCTGCTGTTGCCACGATTAAGACCAAGAGGACCGTTCAATTTGTTGATTGGTAAGGAATTAACTTTAGTTGTTAACACACTTTTTTTTTTTTGAAATAAAAGAAAGAGAGGGGAAAACAAACAAAAAAACAATGTGTTCTCTAAACTTTTTACTAGGGAAAAGAAAGGAATAGAAGGTAAAAATCATTTATGTTTTGTCCAAATATGGAAGGAAAGGGAGGAAAGAAAATCTGAAAGCTGTCTATGATTTTTTATGACAAAAATACCCTTTCTTTTCCTTTTTCTCTGGTTTAGAGAACATTGACAAATGTAAAGGGTATATTTCTAAAAATGAAATATTTCCTCGGTCCAAGACTAAAAAAAATTTTCTTTTCCTTTCTTTTCCTTTCAAAAACACATCAAAAAACCTTCTTTTTCTTTCCAAATTCGAGAACAGAGTGTAGTTCTTGATCGTTTTTGTGGGCGACTTGAAATTAAAGAAGCTTTTTGATATGATCTTGGATTGATAACAGGTGCCCAACTGGTTTCAAGTGTGGTATCAATTACCAGCCACCAACGGTTGTGCCAGGTGGTGATCTTGCCAAGGTTCAACGGGCCGTTTGCATGATCAGCAACAACACAGCGGTTGCAGAGGTGTTCTCACGCATTGACCACAAGTTTGATCTGATGTATGCGAAAAGGGCATTCGTTCATTGGTACGTGGGTGAGGGTATGGAGGAGGGCGAGTTCTCGGAAGCCCGTGAAGATCTTGCAGCTCTGGAGAAAGACTATGAAGAGGTTGGTGCTGAAGGTGTGGATGATGAAGGTGAAGGGGATGATGATGAGTATTAAGAATAAGAAGAAACTTGGATTTGTTGGTTGAAACTTGGTGTTGATGTTTGTTTTGTTCTAAAGTTAATGTCATGTAGTGTGATTCTGTTATTGTTGGACATGAAAATTTGATGTGTTCTGCTAGTCTCTTGTCGGAGTGTTCATTAAATATATATATATTTTCAAGTAATTAAAATATATTTAAACTTAAACTGCTGGTTAATGGATGAAAAGGGTTAAATAATTGTATTTATGTTATGTTATTTGAAATTCTAAGTAATTAAAATATACATAACAATGTATATAATTTAGGAAAAATTTGTTTTGCAGAATATGGAGTATTGATCAAGAAAATGACCCAATGAGATAATGAGAAATTGATCAATTGAAGTAATTCTGTTTTTACTTTTTAGATTTTTAAATAGTGTTAGTGTTATTATCATGAGTCATAATTAAATAGGAATTGTTAATAATTAATAAGTATTAAGGCCGGACCAACCCAATTTTTTTTCTATTGCCAATATTTGTCCATTAATTTTAACAAGTCAATTTGGGTTTGTCAATTTTTTCGAAAATGGTAATCCAAGCCCGCTTTTCTAGAGAGACGGACGGATCTAGCGGGCTGTCCCACTCGTAAATAGCTCTAATGGTTTCTACCTTGTTAAGGTTTTCGTCCCTGGTCCTAGAGATGGCCAAAAACCGTCTCGGGCCAGGCTGGTCCTAACATAACGGTTGCTACTAAGTTCATTCGCGTACTAGTCATTAAAGGGTAATATAGTCATGGATTTTTGGTATTGAATGGATCTTTGTTTCATTAAGCAAGTGCTTGAAGTGATTTAAATGGGGGACTAGATGGTGGATACTTGTGTGGTTGTGTTAGACAATGGTTTTAAATACGTGTTCATGTTTTCATGAAATAGAATCAAAATGTGACTTCGGGTCAATAAACAAAATTAATCAGCTTGAATTTTAGGTTATAATCAGTCACTCCGAAAATTGTTAATGACCGTGTTCGAGAACCGTAAACCACTTTTTTCCCCCTACTTTTGAATTGATTGAAAAAACCCTATTTTGGTAAAGCTTCTCAATAAGTTCCAAGGTTTTTTTTCCCACCTTTTTTTCAATTATGTCCCTTAGGGTAGAATTAAGTACTTCTTCAATATGTCTTGTAAGGTCGTTTTACATTATTATTTATCTTATCAAGTAAGGAGTTGTTTGACTGATTTTTCATTAAGTCATGTATGAATAAAATTGTTTATATAGATTAATCTGTTTGTATAAATTAAAATGATTTTTGTTTTGGAGAGGTTTTTCATAGATGGAAGAAACGTGTTCTTTAATTGGGAGGGGCATGTTTTGGAAAAGAACTTGGACTTTTTACATAAAGTTCCCCGTAGAAGCCTACAACATCAACCACTTCCTATTACATTAAGTCACTACCAAACAATCATATATAGCTGATCGAATAAGTTGCAAGTCTTATTAATCTCATTAAACTGCTAATAAACAAGCCTAATTTTTATCAAATATGACTAGCTTATTAGTCAACGATCAACTAACAATTAGTTTATCAACCAAGAACTAACTTTTCAAATATAGCCTAAATAATAATAAAGTTTGAGTTTCACACATATAGAAAAATATTCGAATCGGAGTTCTATCACTATTTAGAAAAATATTATTCGAGCTCGAACCTAAACAATATTTTCTAAAACCGAAGCCCAGACGACTTGTTACCCGGCTGACCGGCTCTACACTTTAACACCCCTAAAGAAGCCCAAAGGGTGACTTGTTTGGTCAATGATTAGTGCCGATTTAGACCACATTCTCACTCGATCAGCGCTCACCCAATTTGTGTCGGGGAAACAAGTTCTGGTACTAAATTTTTTCCCAAACCCACATCTAGTTTTATGTCATAACAAGTTCTAAATCTAAACTGCTTCAAGCCCCAAACGGAAGATTCAAAGACAACCGAAAACAAATACCAAGATACAGAAACCTTCTACAAATGTAATTCACATCGACCAAAATGATAATTTGTCATGTTTCTAGGACGAGCCAACACGGGGGTTTAGTGATCATATTCATCAGCATTCCATCTTAATGCAGTAACTTTTTATCGAAATCATTTTATATTTTAACCCCCAAACACATTCCTAATGCCTATCATCGTAAACACCCATCCTAAAACTAATTATTACCTCTGCATTGCACACACCAATCTACAACACTTTAAAGCCTGCCTCCCATTCTGATAAGCTATTTACAAAGACTTATGTCCTACAACAGTAGTTTCACCTGCAGCAACACAAACAATGATTCAATCTCACCAAATAGAGTTAAAGATGATATACAGATGGGTTCTTTGGCACCATATAATCCAAATGGTGGAAAGGTTTAAACTTTTTGGGAAAAAATTTGGGGTTTTTAGAGATCAAGAAAAGTACCATCGGTTGTTCTATGAGTCGCTGCCAAAATCTTCAAAACCTAAGTTTTCTGGTATGTCCAACCTCTTATTTTCTCCTGAGAAGCAAAGGGATGTTAATAACAGTCATTTAAACCAAAAAACAAGTGGTTAACCATAAAGACTCTACCTTGGTGCTCTACTGTACTACTATGAGAGTCCAAGAAATTGTCTCTATCGGATGATAGAAAGGCAGACCTTGAGAAGCTTTCTAGCATGTCTGAAAAGTAACAGCAACATTAACCATTAATAAAGATGGGTATATGTAAAAGATGGGCAATTTATCACAATGAACTCATTCAGAAGCGTATTTTGCAAAATGGTCTAGTGTGTTTTTCAAGTTTTGAAGGGGGAATACTGTTTTGAGCCAGGGCAGGTTAAATGAAGGTGATTGAGCTAAAAGAATTTAAGGTCGTATTCCTAATTGAAAACTCGTTTAAGGTCATTCAGCCGAAGGACACTGTAAAAGATTAAGAGAAAGGAGGGTGCACCAGAACTATTGGTGAAGTCAGCGGTTGAGTCCGACAGTCCAAAGTTTTGGGACATGGGACCCAAAAGACCGAACAAAGAACTGTCATTCAGGAGCGTTCCATTCAACTGATGTGGGTCAGATTCCAAGCAACTGAAAGATGAAACAGATGGATCACCAATTGTGGGACGTGTTTCCAGGACGTTGCCATCTGCTCCATAGATAAACCTTGAATTCCCTAGATAGTTGGCTTCGGTTTTCACTGAAACACCATTTGTTCCTCGTGTCATTCCAACATGTGAGTTCTGGGCCAACAACATATTTGGTGGAACATCAATTCTTCGGGAATGAGCAGACATATCCCCAGAGGGTATTGGCAGTCCACAAGTGTTGAACCCTCTTGAGAAATTGGCTGTAACAGGGTGCTGCATGTTTTCTGTCTTCAGTGCAATTCCACTATTTTCGGGTGCATAACATGCTGAGTTCTGATGTACTGAAAAAAAAAGTGAAACGATAATAAGCTGATCAAAGGGAAGTTAAATGTTTTTTCCATCAAATTATACTTCTTACAGTTCGTCACATTACCAAGAATCTAGCAATATAAGGACACTAGAGATTTAATGGTTTCAAACTTAAATAATGTGACTCGATCTAAGCATAAGGGAAGTCAAACATAAGAGAATCTTGACATCTGAAAGTCAATAAATGTCGTAACTTTTTCAACCAAACGCATAGTAGATCATGTTACAGTGAAGTTTGAACCCAAAGATAATCTGTCTATTAACTAATTTAATCTTTTTGTAATTGATAGAATTGTTTTTGTTGATATACTTTAGTTTTGAATTATGGATATGCAGAAAACTATGAAAAAATGTGTGAAAGAAAACCGGCTTACTTGCTGGCATATGAGATCCATTAGACTTCGGTTGGAAACCGACTCCAGTTGGGCCCAATTGATGCATCAGTGCAGCTTGTCTATCAAGCAGCTTATTAAATTCCACTATTTGCTCTTTCACCATCAACCTCAGATGGTATCCCTTAAAGAATTCTTGATTTTGTTCCTCAAGCTTCTGCCAAACTGGAAGAAAGAACAAAACTTTATTGGACCAACATAGACACACATAACATATCCGATAACTACAACAATACGAGATAAATTTGAACGGAAAAGCATCATAAATTACATACCAAGCTCTGTAAAGCTAGGTTCGACTTTCTCTTGCTCATAGAGAATATCTATGACCTGCTTCTGAGTCATGTAATATGGCAGACATTGCTCTATGAGATTTTGAACCTGAAACCGAAGGTTATAATGAGATAAATACGAAAGCATCACACACACACACACACGCGCACACAAATTATATGTGGCCCCAAAGTCTTACCATCTGTATTTCTCCTGGAGATACATTTCTGACATCTCCACCGGACATTTTCTCTAACCAAATATATGATTCTTGAAGAAATTTATAACAGGCTTAGCTCAGCATCGATTGACAAAAGGAAGATACGTATATAACCTGTCTTAAGAGTCATAAAAAACGCCTTTCACAAACCCATTTTAACAAATATCACAAGATTTATGCCATGAAAATTTTAGCAACGATAAAGAATAGGAAGCTGGGACAGACGGCAGTTACCTAAGGTTGCACTCCTGGGGATTCAAGAAACTGTAACGTATCTGCTAGTAATATTTACAAGTTTCATGGTTTGATTTCTAACAAACTAATCCATAGATTGCCCATAGGTTGTACACCAAAGACAATGACAGTTAGGAAGACAATTTCTTGTCTTATTTACTTTTAGTCTGAACTTCTTTTAATCAAGATGTAATAAGAATCCTAGCAACAATCACAAATGTAAGCAAATAGCTACGCCATGTATCTACTATGCATTTGATTTTCATTTCCCATGAATACTGTTGTGCGTGGGTGTGTGTTAGTGTTGATCCTAATGATCGTTATCATGTTATCCCAACTATTAAAAAAAATCATGTTATCGGAACTTCATTTCAATAGCCACTTATGCAAGTCAAGGGTCTTCTTGGAAACAACCTCTTGAGACAAAAGAAAGGTTTGCATACATTTTACACTCTATACCCTATTTCAGAGTGAGACATATTGAGTTTGTTCAGTTTGGTTTTTTTATTTCAATAGCCACAATGCAACCAAAGCAAACAAAATATGTAGTACAGTAGTAGGTTTGAACAAAAAAGATGATATCTTGTTAATGTGAATACAAGAGCACATGGAACTCATATGAATCCATATGGGAAAAGGGACATAGATTTCCAACACTAAAGGAAATATGGATGTGAATGACAATTACATGAGCATAACAAGCAAGAACAATGATCCACAGCAACGGTCGTCGGTTGGCACTAAATACCCTATCCAATCAATGCGATTATGTCATCTTATCCGCCCTTTATAAGATGAAAAATCTTGTAAAAACCCCTAAAATACTCCCTACTTCACAACACAGATTTTTTTTTTCTGTCTGTCTATATTTAAAATGCTTCTAATTCTAACCATCTTTATAGTTTTTCAAATAGAGACCACAAGTTTTGAACATTCATGTCAACTTTGAAGTTGAAAGATAAGTGCACTCAAAAGTCAAATATGGACCCTTTTTTCTGGATGGGGGGTAGTCATTGATTGCAGAGAGTTGGCATTATTGGTTGGTCTTATTTAGATGCAATATTAGGTTCTATAAGCTACAAAGCATCAGCAACCGAATACTATACAGTTTGACACATTTCTTTAAAGTTACCACCAAATAAAGCAGTTGCAACTACTGTCCCTCTCTCTCTCTCTCTACATGTGTTTGTGGGATAACTTCCATTAACAGGCATCTTTATTCCATAGAAAGAAATTGTGCATAGATATGCTCTTACAATAACACATTCAAATCAGTGCGAAATCCCAGAAAACAACAAGATTCTAAACAAACAAACAGTTTATAACATAAATTAGATAACAAGAACCAAATTGAGTGATCAAGAACAGGGTATCCGAGTTATCTTTTTGGGGATTAATCAACAGAAGATGAAGTAAAAAAAGAACCCTTCGTTCATGATGCAAAGAAGAAAAACCCTAGATATATTTGATGAATCGAAAGGATAAGAGAAATAAAGGACTTACGGAAACGATATGCTTGTATTGATTGATATGTGAAGTAATTGAAGAAGAAGAGAAGGTGCAAACAGATGAAGATGGATGTTTTTGGGTGGAATCAAGAATCCCAATAAGCATAAGAAAGATAAGAGGGATGGAAGAGTAAGAAGAAGGGTTAGCAGATGGATAAAGGTGAAGTGGGAAAGGAAGAATCTTTAATGGAGGAGTGACTCTTTTCTAGCTTTCTTTCTTTGAGTCCCTGGTGACTCGTGTTGGACTGCGAGAATAAAAAGGAGGTGGACACTGGGATCCACATCAGACGGTGGATTTCTCTTTTCTTTCTTCTTATAATATTCCTTTCATATCCCTCTCTTCTTCTTTCATAATTCACAAACAGTTGATTCACATCTGATTTTATATTCTAATCACATGTGAATTTATATTCTAATCACATGTGATTAATGTAAAAGTGTGTGTGACTTGCCTGATTGGTCAAAACCGCATTCGATTATTTGACTATTGTTCTCGTTTAAACTTGACTCAACAAACATAAACCGTTTATTTTGTTTTTTGTTCTAAAAACCCATTATATATCTTAAAACATTATTACTTGATCTTCTACATATTTATTCGTAAATAAAGTTTGAAGGATGTCGGAATGTGTAGATATTTTATAGATTCTAAAAAGAATGATGTACCTTAACTAGTCTAAAGTAAATAGGTCGGTTACAGTTATTGGAATTACGTGTAATGATAGTTGATAGTAGTGGTTTACAACTATACATGAGACGGAGCTCATTCGTGAACCAACTTGTAAAAAAATCTTGGTGGGTCCAATCTGAATCAAGTTGACTCAATTTATTTAACCATCTGTATTAAATATAAAAACAATAACCCAACATATAAGACGGCCCACCTAGCTTTATATATGAAGTTATAAACCAAGCTAAAATTAAAATCCAATATGAGCTTGTTGAGACTAATTCTAAACAAGCCGAGCCAAAGAGTCGAGCTCATACAAACCTATAAGAATTGAGCATATATGAGTTAAGCATGGAGCTCAGGCTTGGTTTAATTAGTCTTTGAGCCAAGTCATAAACTCAATTAGCTATCCATAACACCTAGTAGAGATGGCCAAATGGGTCCGGTCCGGTTAACGAAAGTCAACGAAACGTATTTATAAAATTAAACGTATATATATAACAAAACGTATTTTTAAACATATTTATAATAAAACATATTAAAAATAACATATTTCAAAGATATTAATAACATATTATAAATTTTATTAATTACCAAAAATTTGAAAAAAAAATTTAAAAAAAAATATTTTTTTTGCAAAGGACCGGCCGTAACCGGTTATGGGACCGGAACCGGGACCGGATGGCTTAACCGGTTACCGGTAAGCTTGTTCATGTTTGTTCATTTAACTTAACCGAACAAACGAACGAACACGAACGGTAAATAAACGAAAATATGTGTGTTCATGTTCATTCGTTTAGAAATCAGGTCTGTTCGTGTTCGTTTATGTTCGTTCGTTAACATGCTAAACGAACGAACATAAACGAAGGGGCTAAACGAACATAAATAACTATTATTTGAATTCAAAGTAAATAAATAAAAGATTATATATATAAAATTTAATATATAAACGAACATAAATGAACGTAAACGAACGATAAATGAACGAACGTTCACGAACATAAATGAACGAACAAGGCTCTTGTTCATGTTCGTTCGTTTAACTAAACGAACAAAAAAAATTGTTCATATTCGTTCATTTATTAAATAAACAAACATAAACGAACTTCCCGCCGAACGATTCACGAACGGTTCGCTGAAAGTTCAGTTCGCTTACGGTCCTACCTCTAACACCTAGCTACTGGCAGCCCATTTGATCCCTGTAAAAGAAGAATAGCCCAATAGGCCCATTTATTCACTAGAAGTTGGGTTGGAACCATGGATTAATCGAGTTTTTTAGAAGTTGGGCCAAAATCGTATACCCCTACGGCCCTACCTAGTGATGGCCAAAAATGGGTTCCGGGTCAGGGCAGACCGGGTGGAAACCACCTATTTTGTATAGTTTTTTTTTAATGATAAATAGACTTGTGATTATACAAAACCAACTTGTATTTGTGAGACCATAAAAATAACATTATACCTTTACAAAAAAGCATTGTGAAGGTAAATCTTCACAATGTTTTTATCGTGAATGTTCAGTATTATTTGTACCTTTACAATGTTTGCAGTGAAGTTTCAGTGTTGTTTTATGGTCTTAAAAAAACATATTGGTTTTACGTGAACCCAACCCAAGATAAATATTTGTGATGAAGGTGATTCTTCGATTTCCAGAGTATCTAAAGTTTCTAAGTGAACCTCCCTTGTATTCTTTAATACAAAGTAAATTTTCATAACGTTTTTCATATATAGTTCTGGTGGGAGTATATAGTTTCACACATCCCCCTTTTTCGCTCTCTATTTGCATTTCAAGCAACAAAATTTATGATATTACGATGAAAAACTCAAAATTAATGACGAAATTTAACTTCCCACACACACAAATAGTTGACCGAGTTCAAATTTTTATTAAGAAAATAATGTAGTGTTAATGTTGCCATACGACTTATTTTGTTGTATCAAAGACGTACAAACAAATATGCATCTTGTGCCAAAAAGTAGAAACTCGTCATAAAGTAGAGAAATACTTTCAAATCTTATAACTAAAACTGATTCCTCCCAGACACATACCAAGGAAGGTTTGAGATCTTGATACATCAGATCTGATGTTTAAATTTTATATTACAGTCACATCCGCTCTACATTTAACACCTATAATTTGTCCAATCCACATGAAGCCTGAAAGATACATTTTACACTGACTTTGTAGTCTGATTAGAACAGACGATATCAGACGATATCAGATAAGGATGAATTTGATTCTTAACCAAAAAGATACTTGTACTCAATTCATTAATTCTTCCAAGTAGTAATACACCTATTTAGATCAAATCAAATCAATAAAAAAAAAGGGAAATTATTGGTCTAAAATCTAAGTAATTGGGCAGAACATCTGAGACAACATTGGAAGATCCCAATATGAACCACCACCATCACTGCAATCATGAAGAACATTCTCCCAGTATTCATTCACCCCATTCATGGCGTACAGCGATGCTGATATCTGTCTTTCCACCTTCATCCTCTCAAAATCATCTTCACCCTTTTTGGAGATCGACCCTAAGTCAAACCCTTCAAATCCACCCCCAATGTTCAACAATGGCGGATCAGACTCAAGTTCATAGCAAGAACTACCTCCAATCTCCACTCCCCCAATGCAATTACTCAAATCTGGCTTATACCCATCGTTAAACACCTCGATTCCTTGATACCCAGATGAAAAAGTTTCGTTCTTGCCATTGTTGACTTGTACGGTACAAGTGAGTGGCGGACGTCCGTGGGGTTCAGGAGAAGTTGTTTGGGTTTTGATGGTGGTATTTTGAGCGATGGAGTTTTGTCTGAGGTATTTCTTGTGGTTGAGCAAGTTTCTGATTTTGAGAGAGAGAGCAGAGTTGATGGGTACGTGATGGATGAAATTGGTCCGGGCGTTGGCGCCACGGAGCAAGTAAGCGGCCTCGTCGTAGGCCCTGGCCGCTTCCTCTGCCGTGTCGAACGTCCCGAGCCACATCCGGATTTTCTGAGTCGTGTTCTTGATTTCGGCCACCCATTTACCGGACGGACGTTGTCTAACGCCAACAAACTTGCTTCTATTGGAATTCCGACCATTTGTCTTACGAAATCTGCCTTTCTTGGCCAACGACGGTGAAGATGAAGACGAAGAAGATGAAGAAAACCCATAATTGTTTTGGAAGTTTAGCTCCATTTTCTTGTTTGATTTCGAGGGTTTGACTCATTGTGAAGGATAGAAGATGAGTTTAAATAGGAAGATTTCAAGTTTATGCCAAGCTCGTCGTTTGTCAATGGAGGTTTGAGTTGTTTTTTGGGGGGTTGTTAATGGTTGACTGATATCACAGAGTGGGGGCTATGTCATTCACGTCATCCGTGATTGGTACTTTTCTGGTTTGTTTATAGGACGAAACTTTTCGTGATCGTGACGGGATCGAATATACAATCGTTAATGCTCGATGTACAAGTTATTGTAGCGTGATCGTGTTGGATTCGGTTATTTTGATGCTGGAAAACGTTCGTGTTTTTTAGGCAAGTCTTTTGACGGTGTTCGAAAATGGTCAAATTGATTGTTACCGTATCGTAAAAACCAAACGTTATGAATGTTATGGTCAAATGATGGGAGGCTCGCTTGGTCAACTTAACAACGTAAGTTGCCATCACGAAGGCCTGCTCCTCAACTCCTTTTTTTTATGTTTATTTTATTAAATTTCGTATTTTATTCGGTTCGTTTAAATAACATGTTACGAATGATTCTAGAAGTTATCGGTTTAAATTTCGTGTTTTTATATTATTGATGTATGGTTTTAGATATATCAACCGTTAAATTACGAAAAATTCACTTTTAACATGTAATTTCTGGAGTATTTTGTAAAAAAGTTTACATATATATTTATTTAAAATTCATTTTTAGTATGTGATCTATATTATATTATAAAAAATTTGATAAAAACTCTAAAAAAACTATTTTTTATGCATAAAGTACTGTTTATTGATGTATATTACTTAAAATTCAAGATCATAAGTAAATTGTACGTAAGTATAACTTATTAAAACTTCATTTTTGAATTTGTGTAACTAACTATAGATAAATAAAATACAAGGTATATGTCTCATTTTGAATATAAAAAATCTAAAATATAATTCAGATAATCATTAATTATAAACAAATATTTAATTACTATCTTTATAAAAAAAATTATGTTATTAAATGACAAATAAATTACTTGGTGATTAAGTCTGAATTAAATTACAAATAAAATATTGAATTAAAGAAACTACATAAAAAACGAGAACTTTAAATAGTAATGTTGATATTAATATCAATATATTTTTTTTCCAAATTTTTATGATATCTTTAAATTTATATGTTATTCAAAAATAAAAACATCTCTACTGTCTCAAAATCACTAAATACTATATTATATCAACATAAATAAATAATAAAACGAAAAAATTAAAATTGAGATATATCTCGTTATATTATGCGAGCACCCTTTTAGTTCATTTTAATGTATGATTAGAATTTATTTTAAAATTGTGTGTATATTTTTAAATTAATATCTTAAAATAATTCAGGTTGAAATTTCAAAAATTAGCGAATATAGATTGGGACCGACATCCACAACTTAGCGACAAAAAATGCCTTTTCTACAAAAACAATTAAATATGTACTTTGAATTAATGCTACGTAAGCCATCACTCGGCTTGTATTTACTCAACGACTGCCAAAACGGCTATTTATGCCAATCACATCTCTCCGTCCGTATTATGTTAAAATAACATATTAACTAATGCATATCAACGTATAGAAAAATTGGTCTATTAGAATCTGATAAAACGGTCGTTTGTTAGCAACGTACATGTAGGTCTTAGTCGTTTTCGTTCTTCCTCTTCTTTCCAGCCTCTCTGAAGCCTGCAATCGATGCCATGATTCGTCAAAGGAGAGAGCAGAATTCAATGGCAACCACATGATGAATGAACACCGATGCCATGTATAGTTTTTGATCTAATCTTCAACAAGTAAGTGAATCCCAAACTAAATTTGGCACAAATAACAGACTATAAGACCTTAATTTAGTTTTTTCAGTTTTCAAGAACCAAAATGTCGGTTTATTGGTTGTTTTCATTTAAAGAATGTGTAAAAGACTTCAAGAACGATACTACGATTGTTGAAAACTCAATGCTAGAGAACCCAAGTCGAAGGAATGCGCCATCGAGAAACCTAGTTTGAAATTTGTCGTTTTTTTTTTCAGTTTTTGATGTATGCTTTGATGATTAAGATATGAAGAGGTTAGTTTTATACTGTTTTAATGAAATACAATAGATGAATTCGAACTTTAGAAGTGCAATTTGCAAAATCAATGGAATGGTTTCAAAGCTTTGATACTTTAGTTTACAAATTTCAGTGTCAAGATTGCAAATCAGTACTTGACGTAACACCATCTTCGATCGTCAAACAGCCATCCTGATCTGCATAACCACTTCTAATCAAACAGTTGGTTAAAGAAATACGATATGATCATATCCATTTAGATCATTGTTTCTTTAAACCAATTGAAATGAAAATTCGAATTAATTTATGTTCAACATTTAATTATAATTGAAGTATGATTGAGACCAGTACCTACCACTTGGGACAAAAATATTATTTTCTACAAATTAAATATAAATTATGCAAGTCATAATTAGACTTTATTATTAAAGTAACTATTTTGACATGAAGACAGAACCCACACACCATATTTTTACAAGATGTTTTTGTTCTGACAGATACTTAATTTCTGTATTTATATAGACATAAAGTTGTGTTTCTACACTGTAAACACATAACTTTGCTTTATCTGTACGATTTCAATGTCAGTTTTTGTTTTATCAGATATCACAAAAACCAGATTTAAAAGGGGATTCATTTCAAGTTGTGTATATCTCTAAGTCGAATTATTTGTTATTTGGAGTCATTGATTTAAACTAATTTATGTTTATAAAAAAAATAAAGGGATTACGGAATATAATTGTGATTGATTACCTGCCACATGAGACAAAATAAACCTTTTTCTGCAAATTAATTAAATATTTGTATTTGTTTATTTATTTATTTATTTGAGTTTTATATCTAAATTTCCAAAAGAAAAAACAAGAATCTTTTGGGGGCACGCTTCATGAGGGCATATCCTTTTTTTTCATACGCCACCGGAAGCAACTTCCAATAAATAATTTCAAATTAAAAAATTAATTATAATTTTATCAAAGTAAGAAAATGATCAAATCACATGTGAATTACACGTGATCAACGTAAAAGTGAGCAGGCGATCTGACCCGTGTCTTCAAGTTATGGTCAAAGTCTTCTTATGAATCACATGTGATCTTACACTAAAATCACATGTGATTCGGTCGTTTTTGTAATTATGTCATTGTATGATCTGGTTATATATATATATATGTGGGCATGTTTGATTGAGGAGTGAACCACGTTACTATTACGAATTTGGAAACTACTTAGAATATGACATGTGTCGAAGCATTTATCATAAATGCTATAAAAAAATCAATGTATTTATGATGAATTTGGTTGGATGATGCTACTGGAACATAAATATGCATAGATACCTGAAGGAATTTAAACAATTATAAGTAACATATTTAATGCCAAGTGGTTGTAACTCTTGAAATGCAAAGGGTTGTCGGAACAGTTGAGCATTCTTAACCACCCTCCCAATTGTCGGAACAATTCTACACTTGCACTCATCACCACTTCCATTCTTGTACCCTATTCACACCCTCAACAATTTGTTTTTCTATAACAACTAGACTTAAAAACATTGATCTCTCTCTCTCTCTCTCTCTCACACACACACACACACACACA